ACGAAAAGCTACTACCCACAGAATAAAAGGGAACCTACAGGATGGGAGAAAATATTTACAAATCATATACCTGATAAGAGATTAATATCCAGAATATACGAAATCTCTTACAACTCAACAACAACAAAAACTGGACGTAAAAATGGGCAAAGGATTTCAACAGAATATTTTCCCAAAGAAGATATGCAACTAGGCATTAAGCACATGAAAAGATGCTCAACATCACTCATCACTAGTGAAACAAATCCAAGACTATAATGAGATACCACCTCGCATCCATTAGGACGGCTACTCTCAAAAACACAGGGAACAACAAGCCTTGGTGAGAAAGCAGAAAAACTGGGACCCTTATGCACTTTTGGTGGGACTGTAAAATGGTAAAGCTACTGTGGAAAAGAGTTTGGCAGGTCCTCAAAAATTAAAAAAAAAAAAAAAAGAATTACCAAATGACCCAGAAATTCCACTTGTGGGTATACGCTCAAGAACTGAAAGCAAGAGGGTGCTTCGGTGGCCCAGCTGACTGACTGTTGGATTCTTGGTTTCAGCTCAGGTCATGATCTCAGGGTCATGAGATCGAGACCGTCATGGGGCTCTGTGCTCAGTGGGGAGTCCGCTTGAGGATTCTCTCCCATTGCCCTCCCCCCTCACACTCACACACGCACTCTCGCTCTCAAATAAATAAATCTTTATTTTTTAAAGAGTTGGAGCCAGAGGTGGGGTTTGACCTCACAACCCTGAGATCATGACCTGAGCCAAAATCAAGAGTTGGATGCTTAAATGACTGAGCCATGCAGGCGCCCCTATTTAACCACAATTTTTAAATGAAAAACAAAACAAAACAAAACACATAGATCCATATGATTCTATTTATATGAAATCCTAGAAAAGACAAAACTAATCTTAAAGAAAAAGAGCAGATCAGTGACTCAGGGCCAGAGGGGTGGTTGAGACAGACTGCAAAGGTCCACGAGGGGATTTTTTGGGAGGAAGAGATGTTCAAGGTCTTGAGTGTGGTAGTTGCTACAGGGGTGTAAACATTTGTCAGAACTCATCTAGCTCTATGCTTGAAATGGGTGCATTTTTTGTATATAAATTATACCTCAAAAAGGTAATTAAAACCTTTATGACACAGCTAAAAAAAATACACTGTGAACGCTTCTCCAGTTTGACCTTATTTTTTATGGCCAGAGAGTTTTCCATTGTATTTTACCAAACCTCTTTGAACAAAAATTTAGGTTATTTCCCATTCAACTTCTTATTACAAAGAATGCTTCGGAATCATCCTTGTGGTCACATCGTTGTGCACGTATCCACTTAATTCCTTGGGATAAACTCCCAGAAGTGGAACTTCTCGGTCAGAAGATATTTAATACCAATAGATAATGCCAAAATATAATCCTGAATCATACTAATTTACCTTCTCACCAGCTCTGTTAAGATTCCTACCACTCCCACATTCTCACCAATGCAGCCTGTTAGGTCATTAAAATTTTTGTCAGGCGAAAAATAGTAGTTCCTAGTTTTGATTTTTTCTTGATCATTAGTGATAATGAGCATCTTTTCAATGCCCTGGGCATTTACACTTCTCTGAATTATCTGTATCCTTTTTTCTATTTCTGTGTCCATAAGTATCTGTGTCCATAATTCTATTTAGTTACTTATTAATTTCTTAGTGATTTACAGGAGCTCTCCATAATGTTCAGGACATTAGTGCTCTTTCATGTATATTGCAAAGGGTGACTCCTGGCTTGAGGTTTTTTTCAATTTTATTTTATTTTTTCAAAGATTTTATTTATTTATATGACAGAGAGACAGAGATCCCAAGTAGGCAAGAGGCAGGCAGAGAAAGAGGAGGACGAAGGCTCCCCACTGAGCAGGGGGCCCGATGAGGGGCTCAATCCCAGGACCCTGAGACCATGACCTGAGCGGAAGGCAGAGGCTTAACCCACTGAGCCACCCGGGTGCACCAAGTTTTTTTTTTTTCAATTATATTGATGGCTTTTACTGTTATTTGGAAATTTTTAATTAAGGCAAGTCTGTTAGTCTTCCCTTTGTGATTTCAAGATTTTACACGTTGCTTCAAAAAAAAAAGCCTTCCTCACCCAAAGAATATTTTAAAATATTCTCCCATATTTTCTTATTCTGTTTTCATGGTTTCATGTTTTTAATTTTAATTCTTTAATCCAAAGTGAAATCAAATTTTACACTCGCTATGAATTAGAGCTCCAAGTATATTTTTCATAGACTGACCATTTCCACTGATTTAAAATGTTATTTTTTTTCCCCACATTACCAAACGCCTTCCTATGTACGTCATATAAATATGTATTTGTCCCTGGGCTCTATACCGTGTTCAATGTCTTACGTATCTACTCTCGTGCTAGGCAGCCTGTTTCACACAGCCTGATATAAATGGAGGAGGGTATTCAAGACTCCAAGGTTGACTCAGTACTAGAAAATCTGTCAGTGCAGCTCATAGACGGCAGGAGATATTGAATATGAGTCAATCAAGTCATTCCCTCCAGTGGCTTCCTACCACACTTAGAACAAAGCCAAAGTCCTTAAGACCGTGAGCAGGTCTCAACCACCCGCTGATCTTGTCTCCTAACCCTCCCATCTGTGAGCGCCCTTGCCCGTTCACCATGCTCCAGCAACTCTGCGTTTTTCCACCCCCGGATCATGCAAGGCATTTGCACTTGCTATCCCCTAGCTCCCTGCATGATTAACTCTATCTCACCCTTCAGATCGCTGTTCCTAAGTAGCCTTCTCTCAGAGGCCCTCTCTGGCCACCATGAACACAACCTGCTGGGCCACGTGCACTGTGTCTCATTCACGGCACTTCGTCACCAGCAGAGGGCCCTCCCTCCTTCCCCTGTCGTCGCCCTTACTGTCACTATGCCCCCACCCCGGCCACACTCACAGGGTTGGGCTTTGTCTAACTTGTTCACCTTCACATCCCCCAGTGCCTGGGACACACCACAGGCCCTCAGTCAATACCCGCTGATTGGATGAGAGAGTGGAAATCAATCACGGGGCTAGATCAATATCGCTAAAAAGGTATGTGCCCATTTAACAGACATGTCCCATTTTTTTTTTTAAATGTGGGAACGCAGTCGATTATCCAGCACAAAGGCTGGTGTCAGTGAAGCCATGGTTTCTCTCGCAACTCAGCTGCTCCCCAGTTATGTATCCTTGGGCAAATCACTTAACCTCCCTGAGCCTCCATCCATGAAATGGGAGAGATAATGCAATGGAGAGTCGTGGCGAGAGATCCAACGAAGGAAGTGCTTAACAGACTGTCTGGAACACAGGGAGCCTGCAGTGAGTTGGCACGTAGGATTGTTCGAATGGTGGTGGGACACAAGGAGCTGCAGGAGTCTTTTTCAAGAGGAGAGAACTAGTCAGACACTGCCACAAACATCAGGCCTGCAGGCTTGGGCTGGGACTAAGGCAAGGATGCCTTGTATGACTGCCGTTCTTCACCATCGCACGCAGGAAGCAGTGCGTCTGACTGATGTGGGAAAATTGTTTGAGATAAGTGTTGCCATTTGAGAAAATAGAATTTTAGTAGAATAATATAGCTTATACTATATATATAATTATATTAAAATATATATAAAATTATAATTATATAATAATATAGTATATAACAATTATAATAATTATTATATAATATATAATTATATATAAATATATAATATATAAAAATATAAATATAAATATATAATATATAATTATTATAATTGTTATATACTATATTATTATATTAATTATTATATTATTATATAGGCAGACACCCAACCGAGCTACCCAGGCGCCTTTCATGGTTAATTCTTACTATTCTATTATATATATATATATATATATATATAATAGAATATATATATATATATATATATATAGTGGCTCAGTTGGTTGGGTGTCTGCCTTCAGCTCAGGTCATGATCCCAGGGTCCAGGGATTGAGTCCCACATCAGGCTCCTTGCTCAGTGGGGAGCCTGCTTCTACTTCTGCTTCTCTCTGTCTCTCATGAATAAATACATAAAATCTTAAAAAAAAATTAACCATGAAATGATGGGAACTAATGTGAATATTTAATACATTGATTGGATAGGAGATAAAATACACAAAAATTATCTTCTTTATACCAACAGAATTCACAAGAACGACAAAAGCTATTTAAAAATATCTAGGAGCGCCTGGGTGGCTCAGTGGGTTAAGCGTCTGCCTTCAGCTCAGGTCATGATCGTGGGGCACTGGGACTGAAGCCCATGTCTGGTTCCCTGCTCAGTGGGGAGCCCGCTTCTCCCTCTCCTTCTGCCCCTCCCCTGCCTGTGCTTGCTCTCACTCTCTCAAATAAATAAGTAAAAATTTAAAAATCTTTTAAAATATCTAGATACAAATAGGATTGACAAGTGCCACATGAGGGAAAACACTTTCACTGGAGGACATAAAGGAAGTCCAATGACACCCACACCAGCCTATACACATGCACGTGATTTCGGTTCAGATCCCATCTGGTTTCTTCTCCCCTGGGTTTTGACACTTAGGCGAACAAAAGCGGAGAACAGCGAGAGGATGGGAGGAAGTATAAGGAGCGTGGCCTCGCCCTGGCCTTCTATGCAAGCACCCAAATTCCCCTGGCCGGCCTAGACACCACCCATCCTGAATTCATTGCACAAGTTAGTTCTTCAACAGTGTGATGAACAGAATGGCTGGAAAATGCTATTTTACTTGTTGCTAAGCTTCTTTCAGCATTTTTCAGGTAAAAGGGTTCCTCCTGAGTTAGAATGCCAGGAAGGCCCCATGCACACACAAGGTCAGGGAGTCTGTGGCACCCTTGGGACCGGAGCCAGTCGACCCCTCGTAAGTGACCGTCCCTGAGACCCAGAGAACCGCAGGGCTGGGACGCATGTGTCAGACCCATCTCGGTGAGCTCTTGCCACCCAGAGCAGTAGCTGGGACCTCTGCCCGGTGCTGTGTCCTCTTTTCTCTCCTAGACCTGTGGACGAGGGATGGCCGACCCCCACCCCCTGAGTCGTGGGGCCCGGCGGAAGGGCTGTTGTGGGCTGGACATCCGGCCTGCTGCAGGTGAGGCAGGGGCGGGGCTGGCAGTGGGCTTGGGGTCCTCCAGTGTCCGCCTTAGCTAAGGGAGGGACACATGGGGGTAGCCAACCTTGGCGACAGGAAAAGGAATGAGAGCAAGGGGTGCTGGGGCACAGCTCTGCCTCATCATGGCTGCAGGAAACCATGCTGCTGCGGGTCAGGAGCCCCAGGGAAATACTGACAAAATGGCAACACTCCTGGCGTTGTCCACTGGAGGAGTCTGGACAAGCACACCAAGACACGAACCTACCACTGTAGGCCTGTGCACGTGGCTTCACTGCCCTAAGAGCCCCCTGGGTTCCAATCCACCCCTCCACTCCCGGCAACTACCAGCCATCTCTATAGTTTTGCCTTTTCCAGAAGATCACCGAATTCCCTTCCCAGACTGGCTTCCTTCATTCGCCCCTTCGTGTGAGTGGACCTGCCCTTCGCCTCCTCTCTATATCCAGGTCACAAATGAGGACACCAGCGCACAAGCAGCTCAGGCGGCCTGCCCAGCGTCACACAGCCAGTAAGTGGGCGAGCTCAGGTTGCAGCCCGGCGCGGTTCGGATCCACTGGCCCCCCACGTCTAAGCCACGCTTCTGGCATCAGGGGCTTCTCTCACCCTCTGGGAACAAACAGCCCTTCCGAGCCCTTCCTGGAGGCCAGGCCAAGGCCACTAGCAGTCTGGGGAAGGACAGAGAGTGGGTGCCTCCCCGTCCCTGGAGGCTCAGTCACCTGTCCGAGGCCAGGGTGGCGACACGGCAGACAGCATGTCCGGCCCTCTCTTCACAGCTCCTGGCGGCAATCCCAGACTCCATGAGGAAACAGGAGGTGTGGACCAGTGGGGAGGCAGGCCAGGGCCGAGGCCCCGGCTCCCCGGCGGGGCAGGTGAAAGCCCTCGTGGACCTGCTGGCCGGGAAGAGCAGTCAGGGCTCCCAGGCCCCACAGACCCCGGACAGGACACCACACGGTGATGGTAGGCAGATGGAGCTTCTCCCCGGGCCCTCCCCCTCCACCCTTCCCCCCTCCTTGATCCTCCCCAGCCCTCCCCTTTGGCCTCTGTCCCACAGACTCCAGGATACAGAAGTGCCAGGAGACTCTGCTGAACAGGGCAAAGGGCAGCCCAGAGCTGGGTGGCCCCTCGCCCAGGCTGACCAGCCTCCTCCTGGTGGAGGGGCTCACGGACCTGCAGCTGAAGGAACACGACTTCACGCAGGTGGAGACCACACGTGGGGACTGGCACCTGGCTAGGACCATCGCCCTGGACAGACTCTTCCTGCCTCTGTCTCGGGTTTCTATTCCACCCCGAATCTCCATCACCATCGGGGTAGCCGGCGTGGGCAAGACCACCCTGGTGAGGAACTTTGTCCACCTCTGGGCCCAGGGACAGGTTGGCAAGGACTTCTCCCTGGTGCTACCCTTGACCTTCCGAGATCTCAACACCCACGAGAAGCTGTCTGCTGACAGACTCCTCCGCTCCGTCTTCCCACACGCTGGGGAGTCTGGCCTGGTGGCAGCGGCCCTACCCCAAATCCTCCTGATCCTGGATGGCCTGGATGAATGCAAGACCGCCCTGGACTTCTCCAACACCGCGGCCTGCACGGACCCCAAGAAGGAGATCCAGGTGGACCACCTGATCACCAACATCATCCGAGGGAACCTCTTCCCAGAAGTTTCCGTCTGGGTCACTTCCCGCCCCGGCATGGCTGGCCAGATCCCGGGGGGCCTGGTGGACCGGATGACAGAGATCCGGGGCTTTACGGAGGAGGAGATCAAGGAGTGTCTGGAGGAGCTGTTCCCGGAGGACCACACCCTCTCAGACTGGGTCCTGAGGCAGGTGCAGGCAGACAGGGCCCTATACCTGATGTGCACGGTGCCGGCCTTCTGCCGCCTCGCAGGGCTGGCACTGGGCCACCTGAGCCGCAGCAAGCCGGGGCCCCAAGAGGCGGAGCCGTGGACCCCCAGGACGCTGTGCGAGCTCTACTCTTGGTACTTCCGGATGGCCCTCGGTGGGGAAGGGCAGGAGAAGGGCAAGGCGAGCCCTCGCATCGAGCAGGTGGCCCACAGCAGCCGCAAGATGGTGGGGACGCTGGGCCGCCTGGCCTTCCACGGGCTGGTCAGGAGGAAGTACGTGTTCTACGAGCAGGACCTGAAGGCGTTTGGCGTGGATCTCGCTCTGCTGCAGAGCGCCCTGTGCGGCTGCTTCCTGCGGCGCGAAGAGACGCTGGCCTCCGCCGCGGCCTACTGCTTCGCCCACCTGTCCCTGCAGGAGTTCGTGGCGGCCGCCTACTACTACGGCGCCTCCAGGCGGGCCATCTTCGACCTCTTCACCGAGGGGGGCGTGTCCTGGCCCCGCCTGGGCTTCCTCACGCATTTCCGGGGCGCGGCCCAGCGGGCCATGCAGGCGGAGGACGGGCGGCTGGACGTGTTCCTGCGCTTCCTGTCGGGGCTCCTGTCTCCGAGGGTCAACGCGCTGCTGGCGGGCTCCCTGCTGGCCCAGGGCGAGCACCAGGCCTACCGGGCCCAGGTGGCTGAGCTCCTGCAGGGCTGCCTCCGCCCCAACGTGGCCGTGAGCGCCCGGGCCGTGAACGTCCTGCACTGCCTGCGCGAGCTGCAGCACCCGGAGCCGGCCCGCAGCGTGGAGGAGGCCCTGGAGAGCGGGGCCCTGGCGGGGCTCAGCGGCCCCCAGCACCACGCTGCCCTGGCCTACCTCCTGCAGGTGTCGGACGCCTACGCCCAGGAGGCCAACCTGTCGCTGTGCCTCAGCAAGGGTGTCCTCCAGAGCCTGCTGCCCCAGCTGCTTTACTGCCGGAGCCTGAGGTGGGCGCTGGGGTCGGGCTGCGCCAGGCGAGCAGGCGGAGGGTGGGGGGTCCTGGAAGCTTCCTCCCCTCTACCATGCGCCCCAGCTCAGCATGCGGGGGCGGCCGGAACCATGGTGCACCACGACGTGCATGGGTTAAGGCATCAGAAACTTACTCTCTTGCAGCTCAGGAGGCCAGGGTCCCAAATCAAGGTATTAGCAGGGCCAACCTCCCTCTGAGAGCCACAGGGGAACAGCCTTCCTGCCTCTCTAGCGTGTGCTGTTTGCTGGCTTCCCCAGCTTGTCCACACATTGCTCCGATCTGTGTGGTCTCACAGACTCCTCCTCCATGTCTCTGTCTTCGTGTAGTGCCCCCTCGGGTGAGCACACCGGTCGTGCAGGACGACAGGCCCAGCCTGCTCAGAATGACCTCATCTTAACTAATTACATCTGCAGTGACTCGGTTTCCAAACAAGGTCATGTTCTCGAGGCACTGGGAGGTCAGAACACCTACCTGTCTTTTGGGGGAACACAAATCAACCTCCAATACCCTCCGAACCATCCCCGTGCTGACGGAGGCCACACCCACTCACCCCACCCCCAGCCCAGGGCCCACCCAGCACTCTGGACCTTAGGAAGGCTGCAAGGCCAGGGCCATTCCAGACTTGCGAGCAGGTGCCACGTCCTCAGGAGGAGGACAGCTAGCAACCTGTGACCTGCAGGCTCACAGGGTGTGAGGAAGGATGACTGGGGAGATGTCTCAGTAAAATGGAGAGCGTGGTGGGTCTGCCAGCATGGACCCCTGAGCTGCCTGCCAGGGGCTGGATCGAGATGGAGACATCGGCCGGGGTGCCTCTGGCGCCTCCACCTGCCCGTGGGCGCTGGTCCTGCTCACAGTCGCTCTTTCTCCCGCAGGCTGGACAGCAACCAGTTCCAGGACCCCGTGATGGAACTGCTGGGCAGCGTGCTGAGTGGGAAGGACTGTCGCATTCAGAAGATCAGGTAATGCGGACCCAGGAGCCCCTGTCCGGAATGCCCACCTGTTGCACAGGGTCTGGGGCTCCTTTCCCATCCTCCTCTCTGCTCAAGGGGCCAGGGATGCTTTCAGGGAGAGGTGCCTTTGAAGCATGTGGCTCAGGATGCACGCTGCTTATTTCTGCCCATTCCAGAAACTTCCAGAGGTTCAGGTGCCTCATCTGTGAGAAAAGGGAAAGATATAGTGAGGGTTAGATGCTCTCATGGACATGGAAGCATGTCTTTGAACACAACGTTCTAATGTGGAGTCAGGCCGGGTCTTCTCTAAGCTCTCAAAGTTGGACCTCAAAATAGTACGAGAGGCACACGATCACATCATTAAATAAAATTTCAAAGTTTTTCATTGAAAACTGAATTTAAATTTAAACTTTTATTAAAGTGCAGAAAACACAATTTAAACATTGCATCTTTACTGTTGTAATTAGATGAAAGTCTTAAACTGGCAGAAAAAGAGATTTCTGTTCTTACGAAACCTCTTCTTGTGATAACATTTCTGAATTGGGGTAACATCCGGGTTTGGAGCTGAAATGATGGGTGAGCTGGGGGTGGCTCGAACTAGAGAGGTAAGTTTGGGGCACAGGATCCAGAGAAGAATTCTTCATCCTCACTAAACCTCCCTCTGGGTTCTGAAATCATCTTTATCTGAGAAAACAAAAAGAAACGTGAGCTGATTCAGGAGAAAAAGAAGTCAACCAGGGACAGCGGTGAGAGCGGTGGGCTCTGTGTGGCCCTGTACAGTCACCTCTCTGCCTAAAGAGGGTGAAAATGGGGTGACAACAGTACCTGTGAGTCCAGGGTTCCCCACGACCCTCCTCAGGCTCAATGAATCACTTGAAGGACTCACAGAACTCGGAAAGCCATCGTGGTTCATCACACCACAAAGATACAGATGGAGATCTGCAAAGAGGGAAGGTGTGTGGGGCAGGCCCAGGGAGAACAGGTGAGTTTTGCTTGTCCCTCCCGGTGCAGTCATATACACGGTGTCTCCCTCTCCCGGTGACCACGTGTGACAGCACACATCAAGCATTCCCAGCAGCAAGGCTCACCCCGGCTGGTCCATGGACCTTTCGTGGGGGGCTGGGCATGGAGACACACCCGACTGCCCACAGAGAAGCCCTTGCAGGGATCAAGCTGTTACTGTAGGGGCAGAGTGGGGGAGGGTGAGCCCCCCAGGTAAACAGAGGTCAGCTTTCAGGAACTGGGGGCCAGGTTAAGCCTTTCTGCACACTAACTGCCCCTTCGGGTTGTCGAGCAGCTCCAACAGGTTAATGCAAGGGAAGTGTGAGGCCAGGCCAGGCACAGGGGAGGCACCACACAAGGGCCAGCCAGTATCAGCAGGATTCTCTTGGTCTTGGGCCAGAGATATAAATGCAGTCCCTTTGCAAGAATCAGGACGGCGACAACTTTTCATTATTTTTTCCTTCATGGGAGCCTTCAGCCAAATAGTCAACTTCTAGTGTTTTGCATAAAGGAATCTGGAGAACGCGCAGAATATTTTCTGAACAAAAGCTCCAAATTTCCTCTGTGGCCACATGCTCTTCTTCACCTCCCCGCAGCTGGTCCTCAGGGCCACATCCTTCTGTGAAATGTCCAAGGCACACTTCAGAACACGCACATGGCTCGTGGAACATTACTTATAAAACGCTGTAGAAGTCCTGGGTGGAGGGGGGACAGAGGCATTCTGGAACTCAAGAACGTTTATGCAGACAGCAGTCTGGATGAATGGTCTTCCGAGGTTAAACAAAAGAACCCTTTTTAAAAGTGGTCGATCATGGGGCACCTGGGTGGCTCATTCGGTTGAGCGTCTGCCTTCGGCTCAGGTCATGATCTCAGGATCCTGGGATCCAGCCCCGCGTCTGGCTCTGTGCTCTCCCTCTGTACTCTCTCTCTCTCTCACTCTCAATAAAAAAATATATATATATTTAAAAAATGGTCTATTAGGCAGGATCCCAGTAAGAGATGGACAGCTGGGAGGTGCTGGGATTGAAAGCAGTGGGGTTCTTGGTTCCCCCTCAGCCTCCAGGGATTCCTGAGGCTTTTCTGATGAACACCAGGGGCCCCTAAAACACAGCTTGAAAGGCCCTGGGGATTCTAACTGCATCCCCGGGGAAGCTCCACAGTTCTAAATGCCCAAGAAACTATGAAAAACCTCAACAGCCACCACTTCTGAACCTGGGTCCAGGAAGCCTTGTGGTCCACCAGCTTCTTCCTGAAATCACCCTTACAGGGCAGACACAAGCATTTTTTGGTTATGGGTTGTTTTACTTCCAAGTTAGCTCTGTAATAAGTACCCTCTTCCTCTCTTGCATTAGAAAAAGGGCTGGGGCCAGTGGTAAGCCAGAACTATGAATTCAGCCACCGGTCCATAAGAGCAGATTATTAAAGCTTTAGGAACTTTTGCAAGCTGGGCGTGTGTGAAATGGCCGTGGTGAGCTTATTTTACACCACGGAGATTGGCCAACGCTACACATCTGTGTTTCTGTATTGGTGTCTCGCAGTACAGCGCTGTGCGGGGTCTCTGCCAGGGACTTCTGTCACTGCCCGGGCTCTCTGCCGCACTGTTTGTGTAGAAGCTGCTGTGCCAGATTCCGGCCCAACTTGGCCCTGAGGCTCTTTTCCTGTGTGAGGGTCTGTCCCCAACTCGGGCCCTCCCTTACCTGGCCCAGAGGTCTTCCCGGGCTGGGCACTTCCATGCTGGGTCTCGCCTCATCTCCACCTGTGTCCAGGCCCTCGTGACGCTGGTGAAACTGAGAGGTTTGGATCATAAGCCTGGTGCTGAGAAAGAGGCAAGATCTACAGATCCGCAATAACCACTCCTCTCCCTCTCCTTGCCCAGCTTGGCTGAGAACCAGATCGGTAACAAAGGGGCCAAAGCTCTGGCCAGATCCCTCTTGGTCAACAGAAGTCTGACTTCTCTGGAGTAAGTAGGACATGAGGCCGACCTTCCACCATCGGGCCCCAGACAGCTTGAGAACCATCTCATGGAGTCCCCCAGACCACGCTCTCCCCTGGTGGGGTAGAAGAACAGCCAAGCTAGCCAAGTCCTGGCTCCTTCTCAGCGGTTGGGACCAACCCAGGGAGGGCCGGGATCTCGGTCCTGAAGCTGGTGTTATTCTCCCCGCTCTCCCCAGAGAGCTGGTCCAAGGCCAGTCTGTCAGACCCTGCTTTCTTCTCCCCGCACATGGGGGCCATACTGGGAAATTCCTTACTTGTTCACCTAAATAAGGGTCTCTGCCAAATATGAAATCCTAGACCCCAATTCATTATTTTCAAGGAGGACAGATTTAAAGGTCAGGTAATTTCTGGTTTTTTTCCTCCCTGGGAATTGGATTAAAAAACAAAACAAAAACAAAAAAACCCCAGTTCTTTCTCTCTTCCCTCCGCCAGCCTCCGCAATAACTCCATTGGACCTCAAGGGGCCAAGGCTCTGGCAGATGCTCTGAAGATTAACCGCACTCTGGCCTTTCTGAGGTATGTGCTGTCTGCCCCCGGTCCCAATGCAACCAGCAGAGGACCCAGAAAACCCTCTCCCAGGTGCCAGCCATGGAGTGGGAGATGATTTGAAATGGTGGCCACGCTGTACTGGCTCCCATCTAAGAGGGCACCACCTGATCTTGTATCCTATGCAAGTTTCAGGTTTTAGCTCTTCCCTGGTCATCGTCCTTGTGTTCACAGCCTAATCAGGGGATGGAGAAGGCAGCGTGGGGTTGTACAGAAGTGGAAAGGCAAGATAATCTATGAGGAAAACTTCCTGTCCTCCACTGAGTGGGATATCCCAAGGCCATGGTGTCAGAATGTTCCCCTGAGGTGTTTTGCAGGACATTGGAAAGCCCATCTTCCAGAATATTCTTTGCTTCCTGTGGCTTCTTGTGCTTTTAGGGGCCTGGGGTTGTATCCATCCTTAGTTGAGTGTGTACTGTCACTTGTTTTTTTCATTTATTTTTATTGGGGTGAAACTCACCATTTTAAAGTATACATTTCATTGGCACTTGGCACATTCACAGTTGTTCATTCATCACCTCTATCGGGTTCCCAAATATTTCCATCACCCTAAAAGTAGACCCTGTATGCATCAGCAATCACGTCCCATTCTCTGTCTCCCCCTCCCCTCGCCCCTCCCGGGCAGCCACCAGGGACTGCTGCTTTCTGTCTCCATGTTTACCTACCCTGGAGATTTCACATATAGAATCCTTCAATAAGACCCTTTTGTCTGGCTTCTGTCACTGAGCGTCTTCAAAGTTCACCCACATAGTGGCAGGTGTCAATGCTTCATTCCTGTTTCCAGCTGAGTCATATTCCACTGTATGGAATTCCACTGTATGGACTGTATAGACAGACCACAGTTCATCCATTCATCAGCTGATGGACATGTGGGCTGTTTCCATCCTTTGGCTCATGTGAATAATGCTGCCGCACAGTCGTGCACGAACATTTGAGCACCTGTCCTCATTTCTTTAGGGCAGACACCTACCAGTGGAACTGGCCGTGTCTTATGGTAGCTCTGTTTGACCTTTTGAGGAGTTGCCAGACTGTTTTCCACAAGGTCTGCCCCATTTTACATTCCCACCAGCAGTGTGTAAGGGTTCCAATTCTTTGACGTCCCTGTCAACACCTGGATGCTGTGGCTTTTAGTGGCAGTTAAGTCTACTGATAACCTAGTTATTGTTACCGAGATGCCAGGGACACCTTGTTCCCGATCAACAGACAAATGCTTAGAGACCCAGAGGGAATCCTGAGGCCACAGCAGCACTGGGAAGAAGCAACTGTTCCCAAATCCTGTGTTGTGGGGAGCAAGGGCACATAGCACTCAGTGGCTGCCCCACCATTGTCCCTCTGCCTCATCCCTTGGGCCTCAGTAATGCCACAGGAGAGGTTAAGGCCACCACTGGACACGCTCACGGGCAATGCTGCTGACGTACTTCTCCCTTGCTTCCACAGCCTCCAGAGCAATGCCATCAGGGATAATGGAGCCAGGTCTGTGGCTGAGGCCTTGGCCGCCAACCGGACCCTCTCTGTGCTGCAGTAAGTGGACGTGCTGACCAGCACAGGGCTCCCTTCTTCTCTCCTCTCCTCCTCCAAGGGCCTCTCTGTTTTCTGCAAGGAAGGATGACCGGGGAGATGTCCTGAGGCTTTCTGACCCATCTGGATGGTCCCTGGAAATCTTGATGTCCACTGCTTTTCCACAGAACAGGTGTTGGAAAATAATTAAAGATAAAGCCTTCTGCCAATGCAGAGTCCTCTCCACAAATGCAGTAAAGAACGAAACAGCTTAGTTATCTGAATATTCAACTAGACCACAGTCACACCATTGGCCATCCAACAACCAGATGGCAAAGACCAAGAAATCTCACCCTTTCCTCCAGCCAGGCAGACACAACCCATGATACGTGTGTTCTCAAGATAACTTGTTCTCAAGTGAGAGGACTGGACAGCACCATTTGTCATACAGTTTTCCTTAAATTTGCCTAGTAGCTGGGGTAGCCATCTGTTTGCTAATTGCCTTTATCCAAAGGAAAAACCAAACTTCTATCTTTAGGACAACGTGGAGTCGTGCTATCTTCCTTGATGTGTACATTTCAAAGAGAGGGCTCCAAGGTCCCTATAGGCTGTAAATCTGGCAAGGGGTTTTATTTAGCTTTTAAAAAGACTTACAGGGGCACCTGGGTGGCTCGGTGGGTTAAAGCCTCTGCCTTTGGCTCAGGTCATGATCCCAGGGTCCTGGGATCGAGCCCCACATCAGGCTCTCTGCTCCGCAGGGAAACCGCTTCCTCCTCTCTCTCTGCCTGCCTCTCTGCCTACTTGTGATCTCTGTCAAATGGATAAATAAAATATAAAAAAAAAATAAAAAGACTTACACACTTTTCAAAGGGACAGATTTATCACTGCAAGTTTTCTCAAAGAAACACTCCAAGGGAAAGGGAGGTCTCTTTCCCTTTTAGAACCACGGAAAGTTCCCTTTTGCTTACATTGTATTTAGCCTGACATAAGACAGGTCCTGCCTTGCCTGTCCTCCTAGGATAAGCACAGGGCTCTTGGCAACATCTCCCCCTCCAGGTTTGGTGTAAAGGGAAATAACTGTTGGAGAAGGACCTAAACGGAGGGTCTGCCATCGGGAGGACTGCAGGGTTGGGAGGAAGGCTGCTGGTCGGTCTAGAGGGAGGTGGACTGTTGGGTGTGGGGAGCGTTGACTAGGTGAGGAGCCAGTGGGACTCGCATGTGGAAGTCACCACCTGAGAGGTTCTGGATAGTCTGTGTCCTCTAGTCACTGCTTTCAGCTTCTGAAAGGGGAGGGCCCAGCTGTCCTTGCCTCCGACACCCCCCAGAATGATGTCAGTCTACTGACATCACTTTGGCAACAACCCACAGACCTTTCCTAGAGACCGCTGCGCCAATGCTGCGGTAAATGGCGAGTGTATTCGAGTAGTCTCTGAGCTCTCGCCTTCAACCAGACTGTCCCTAGTGGGAATAGCTGTGGCCAGCTTTGCTGAAAGACCCTTCTCTCCCACAGCCTACAGAAGAATACCATCGGGCCCGTGGGAGCCCAGCAGATGGCAGATACCCTGAAACAGAACAGGAGTCTGAAGGAGCTCATGTGAGAAATGCAGAAAGGCCAAATTTGCATCCTCAGTGACTGGCACAGTGCCCAGCCCATCATAAATATTTGTGAGCATGAGGATGGACGGATGGACGGACGGACGGATGAATGTGTGGGTGCAAGATAACTCCGATTCCCAGGAGTGGGACGGTCTCAGACTTAATCTTACTGCCTTACCAACACCTCCTGGCTACCTTCATGGACAGTATCACTATAAAGAGTTGGCCGTGCCCTCTGCTAGGGAGTCAAGGACTTTGCTCCTTCGATCTCTTACAGGCCACAGGGAAGCACAGGTCACTTGCGGAGGCCACCAGCTACAGACTGAAGCTGAGCAAGCTGTGCACTGGGCACCCTTAATGCAACACAGGAAGCACAGCCCTGGGGTGCAACCCTGGACCCTGAGACCGGGCCCCACCCTGCTAGGCTGCTCCGGAAAACCAGCTCGCCCTTGTCTCCTCTCTTGCAGATTCTCCAGTAACAGCATTGGCGACGGAGGTGCGGAGGCCCTGGCTAAGGCCCTGAAGGTGAACCAGGGCCTGGAAAGCCTGGAGTGAGTCTGCCTGACCGCCCTCCAGGAGTGGCCGTGGGCAGAGGGTGACTCCCCTGGTTTCCCCATCAAGAAGGCGGGCTGGGTTGTCAGTCAGGACCACAACTTTGCCTGAACCCAACCAACCACCAGCCTTGGGCACACAGTGAGCTCAGTCTCTCCCCATACCCCCCTTGCTGGTCCATCCCACTGCACCAGCCCCATCTCCCTGGACAGCTGAGGCTGGTGTTGGCCGTGGAGTTTGCGGAGTGACAAGCACCGAGTGCCCCAAAAAGCTGGCACAGGTGGCTAAAGAGGGTATCGGCCAAGCGGTCGGTGGGCAATGGGAGAGCTCAGTGCTGCCCCCCCACTGTGCCCACACACCTGTGCCACTTTCTCTGGGGGCTACAGACACAACATACCCTCCGACCCCAGACGACTGGGAACCGCTCAAACCAAGGCAGAGTGTAAGCTCAGAGGATGATTATGCTCGGCCCACCAGCCCCAACCTAGGTCTGGAACCTGAGGGACAGGGACAGGAAAGAAGGCTGATGAGCAGAGCAGTGTGGGGTGGCACCTGCTCCAGGGTTCCCCAGCTCTGTTGAACCCGACGCCTGCAGCCCCCAGGCTGGAGCAGGGACTCCCCGCGGGTCCCGGGACGGCCACCCCAAGCGCGCCCTGTCCTCTGTTTGCAGCCTGCAGAGCAATTCCATCAGTGATGTGGGGGTGGCGGCGCTGATGGGGGCCCTTTGTGCCAACCAGACCCTCGTCAGCCTCAAGTAAGTCCCGGCTTCCCTCTGAGCTGGGGGGTCCTCTTGGCCAAGGGGTCTGAAAGGACTTTGGGACTTGGAAGAATGCCCACCCCTCCCACTGCGGGCCTGTTCTGAAGTTTTCTCCGGTTAAGCAGCTTGGTTCTGGGGCCTGGCATCCCGCACACTGCCTGCTCTCTCAAAAGAGCAGGGGACAGTTGGGGCCCTCAGCTCCCCAGTTCTGCTGCTTCCCTCTGGCACCCCAACCCCTGAGGCAGCCAAGCCTGCCCCAGCCCCCTCACCTCTGAGGGGCTGTCAACAGATGCTCTTCCTCCCGACGGGTCCCTCACCGGCGGTGCTGCAGGGGACATGCTCGGCCGGCTAGCCGGCTCTTCACACCTTGGCCGTGATCACTCAAGAGGCCCGGGTCCCAGCTGAGGCTCCCCGGGCCTGAGTGCCAGGGCTTGTCTCCCCAAGAGTCCCCACATGTCTGGTCGGCAGCTCAGGGTCTCCTCTCTCCCCAGCCTGCGGGAAAACTCCATCAGCTCAGAGGGAGCCCGGGAGCTGGCGCGAGCTCTCTCCATCAACACCACCCTGAAGAACCTGGAGTACGTGAGTGGGGGGCAGGCTGGGCCTCCGACCGCCCCTTCAGCTGAGGGCCTCGCCTACCTGTTATCCTGGGGACGGGGACGGAGAGGGCACACCCTCACGGCCTTGCCACTTTATAGGCTGGGGAAGGACCAGGTTGGGGAGGCGCAGCCAGGAGACCGAGCCTCTGGTGGCAACCCCTGCACTCTTGCGCCCTAGTTACCTGTGGATGAGGTTCCTGGGGACGCTGCCTGCCCCAGCCCCCTCCCCATGGAGAGGCCGCTCAGTACAGAGATCGGAGCCTCACTGAGCTGAACCGGGCCCCCTCTCCATGTGCCCGTCAGGATTCGGTACAATAGCTGTAGGCACATGCTTGGCACACACAGGTACTCAATAGACAGGAGGTAGGCCGGTCCTCAGGGAGGAGTGGAGCTGGATTCCTGGGTGAGCAAGTCTGGGGCTCCACGGCCAGGTAGCTCCTGCTCACTCACTACCCTTCCCCTCCTCCCAGCCTGACAGCCAACCTCCTCCACGACCAGGGCGCCCAGGCCATCGCGGTGGCAATGAAAGAAAACCAGGCCCTCAAGTCCCTTCAGTGAGTCTCTAGCACCCCCACACCACCCGGTCCCCTCCGCAGAGCTGCAGGGCCGTACACCAGCGTGTGCAGGAGAACAAGTCTGGCTTTGGGGCCCTTCCCCGATATGGCCTCAGAGGCCTCCAGGGGGCTGTGCCCTGCCCCCTGCTCTGCTTCCAGGGGCTGATCCACTGAGAGGCCAATGGTGGGAGGTGGGCACCCACGCCATGCCTCCAGGTGTCACAAATGTCACGCAGAGGCCATTTGGAGTCTTTGAGCCTGTCCCTGTGTCCACCCTTAACCAGAGAGTGCTTGTTTCGACTAACCAGGGGCTGCAGGAGTTCTGCCCATCAGTGGCCAGGACCCCGTCCTGCGAGGACTCCTTCCCTACTGCCAGACCCTCCCGGGAGAAGTCCCCTCTTTCTAGAACCTCCAGACCCTCCTGGGCTCTGCCCTGGGCCACGGGGTCACACGTGTCTGTCTCCGCCCAGCCTGCAGTGGAACTTCATTCAGGCCGGTGCCGCCAAGGCCCTGGGACAAGCACTACAGCTCAACAAGAGCCTGACCAGCCTCGAGTAAGTGGGGCCTCTGCAGGGGCTGCAGGAAGGCCGGGGCGGGCGGGGCAAGGACATTTGAGAGCTCAGTGTCCACCGGGCACACAGCCTCCTCTGCCGTTTCTGTTCTCGTCTGCGCTAGCGGCTTTACTGAGACATAATCCATGTACCATAAAAACCACCCATATAAAACACACAGTTCCCTGGTTTCTAGTGTATTCAGAGTCGTGCAACCTTCACCACCATCCATCACCCCCAGAAGACACCCGGACTCATTAGCAGTCACTCCCCACCACCCCCATGCCCCGTCCCTGGCAGCCACACACCTGCTCTGTCTCTACAGTCAACTGCGCTGGGCGTCTCATTCACATGGGATCATACTGTACGTGGCCTTCGCAACCGAGGTCTTCCGTTTAGTGTCACGACTTCTAGGCTCACCCGGCGGGGGGCAGGGGGGAGCAGCATGAATCAGAGCTTCCTTCCTTCCTGCGGCTGAATCCTAGTGCCCTGTGCGTGTAGGCCACACTGGGTTTCTCCACTCATCCGCTGACGGACGTGTGGGTTGTTGCCCCTGTTTGGCTCTCGCGAGTGACGCTGCTGTGGACGTTCGTGCACAGGCTTCTGTGAGCATGTGCTCCCACTTCTCGTGGCCACACAGCTGGTGGGACTGCTGGGTTGAAGGGCAACTCTCTTTCACCAGGACATCCCACCTCTGGCTGGTTCCTCGGACTGATGATCTGGTGTTCGCTAGGGCTCTGCCCTGGGCCATCTTCTCTTGAGTGGTCGTTCTTTCCCAGAAGCTCTCTTCTCTCAGGCTCCTTGCCTTCAAAGCCCTGGTACCCCCAAGTCTATCCCCCAGACCTCTCTCCAGAGCTCCAGACCCACGTCATCCCTGCCCACTCAGCACCTCCCCTTGGGCACCATGTGGGAACTTCAGACTGCCCAGCTACCTGCCCACAAGCCTTCTCTGCCCCCACCTCGTGAATGGAACCAGCCAGTCGCGCAAGCTGCAACACCGCCTCTGCTCTGGCTTCCCACTTGTGGCTCTCCTCCCAACGTCCCCATTTCCCTCTGTCCCCACGGCCAGTGGCACACCCAGTCCACCCTCTCATAGGGCTGGCCAAAGATCTTTCCAAAACTTCAATCTGGCCCCGTTCTGGGTCAGTGAGATGCTTAAATGCTGCCCAGGGCCTGTAGAGTGAAGGCCAGCCCTCAGCACGCCTTCCAAGGAAGGCCCCAAGGACCTGAGTCTTTTCTACCTCCTCCGCCTCATTTCACGCGCCAGGGTCACGACTGCATTGCCTCGAGTTCGGTGGCTGTGCTAGGCCTCTTCCCCCATCACATCCTTCAGGTTTCGGTCTAGTCCTATTTCTTCTGGCAGCTTCTGTGACCACACCAGGGTAGGAGAGCCCGCGGGGTCCACCACGCATTGGCACGTGACCTTTGGTGCTGCTCGTTCAGTCACAGCTGCCCACCCGAGACGGACCTGGGCCTGGACAGCCGTGGGGACACAAAACACATTCAAATCTGTTAAAATGACTAACGCAGGGCGCCTGGGTGGCTCAGTGGGTTAAGCCGCTGCCTTCGGCTCAGGTCATGATCTCAGGTTCCTGGGATCGAGTCCCGCATCGGGCTCTCTGCTCAGCAGGGTGCCTGCTTCCCTCTCTCTCTCTCTCTCTGCCTGCCTCTCTGTCTACTTGTGATCTCTCTCTGTCAAATAAATAAATAAAATCTAAAAAAAAAAAAAATGACTAACGCACACTGCGCCTCTAATCCGCTGACGCCGACCCAAACTAAACGCTTAACCACTGCCTGCTCCAGGACCTACAACGTTACTCCAAAGCGGAAGAAGAAAAAAACCAAACATGTAAAACGCTGACCGGCAAGAATGGCCGGACACTGAGGGCCCTGACTTAGTTCTGTGGCCGGCACACCCAATTTTGTCCCTTTTCCATGTGTCCCTTTTCTTGTTTGCCTCTGATGGTCCAGGTTCATGGAGACCCCGGAGCTCTCTGCATGTTAGGTACAAGGCCCTGGGGGCGGCTATCCCCAAGGCCACCCTGAGTCTGGTCCATGGTGTGTTGGTCTGAATGAGATTGGGACGGTCCAAGGGGTCACACTCTGTGTTCAGTTTACAGGAGAACGCCATCGGGGACGAAGGCGCCTCTGCAGTGGCCAGCGCCCTCAAGGCCAACACGGCCCTCACTGCGCTCTAGTAAGTGCTGACGTGCGCGGCTGGCCCCAGGCCATGCTGTCACGCTACACAGCGGTTTTGCTTTCCAGTCAAGGAAGGGGTGTTTGATTCTCCTAGCGTTAGCAACTGGGACATCGAACAGGTGGAAAGCAAGAAGCAGGGGCTCGGGGAGGCCTCTCCCTCACTCTCTCAAGCGGCCACCTCTCCCTGCTGTATCAGGAGCATCCAGGGCTCTGTCCCAGGCACCAGACAGGGCAGGAAGGGGGCGCAGCGCACTCCGGACAGATCCGGGCCAACAACCTTCAGTGCCGTGTTGCCCTTTCAGTCCTAAGTCCGGGGGTGGTCAAAAGGAAGGACAAGTACGCCTCCACGCTGGGCCGGGCAGGGTGCAGGCTGGAGAGGCCTCGCCTCTCCACATCGAAATCATCTCTTCCTACAGTCTGCAGGTGGCCTCCATTGGCTCCCGGGGGGCCCAGGCGCTAGGGGACGCCCTGGCCATGAACAGAACCTTGGAGATTCTCGAGTAAGTATTCCAGTCTGTGGCTTTCGTCTCTTGCCCAAAGGAGCCAAGCTGCTGATTGAAAATGAGGATGTAGAAAGGAAAAAAAAATATATCAATTTACATGGAAACTCACAAATCATTTAAATATCTTCACTTAGATCAAGCATAGCCCAGCTTCCCCATCCCCACTGCATACCTCTTCCCTGGGAGACACTACTGTGGGGCCTCCTGTCCTTACGGACCTGCTCTCCTTGGCCTTGGCCAGGCTGCACACATCCCGAAGTTGGGTAGGGGTCCCTGGCCACTGATCTCTATGAGAAGATCCAAATTCCTGGGGGAGGGGGTTAAGCCCAGTGGGCCTCTCAGGCATGTCCCGGTGGTCCCTGCTCCTGTGGTCCTGGGACGCTGAGCATGGGGGCACTGCTAGACGAAGTGTTGCCTCTCTCGTCTCAGCCCCACTCTCCTTTCCTTGGAACGGTGGAAGAGGGCGGCTCCAACAAACCACCCAGGTTAGGCCAGCTTCATCCCTCCTTGCGTCCTGCTCCCCAGAGCCGATCTCTACTCGGTGCCAGGAGTGAGGAAGGAGCAACCTCACCCCGGCACTTGCTGAGTCCATGCGGCCTCTGCCCAGTAGCCCATGCCCAGCTGAAGAGGCACTGCCTTCACCCCACAGCTGACCCCGTGCCTTAGCCTTCATATCTTTCCTGACAGCTTACGAGGAAACGCCATCGGGGTGGCGGGGGCCAAAGCCTTGGCAAATGCTCTGAAGGTGAACTCTAGTCTTCGGAGACTCAAGTGAGTGGCTGTAGAGACCTCCCCGCGCCCCAGGGCAGCAGACTTCTCTGCTCAATTCCCTCTGCAGCTGCTTCCTTCCAACTATCAATAGCTGTGAGGACCTCTTGCAGACGGGTTTGTCCACTCTGGCTAGCTTACACCAGAGCTAAGTCACTTAACATCTGCATTTTCGGTCTTCCACCTTCCATGGCACTTGGATGGGCTCCCCGGGCTACTTGTAGGCACCGGTCTCGGGGGTAAATGCCCGCTTGCTGTGGACAGATCAGCTCCAGAAGCACGTATGTCCTCCACGGCCCCCCAAGATAATGCAGTGCTGCTTCCTGGGGTGGGTTCTTCCGTGCTCACGGTGGTGTCTCCATCTTTCCTCTGCCTAGTCTTCAAGAGAATTCCTTGGGGATGGACGGGGCGATATGCCTTGCCACTGCACTGTCTGGAAACCATGGCCTCCAGCACATCAAGTGAGTGGGGCTCAGCAGCACCTGCCCTTCCCTCCCATTCTTGCTCACCCTTGGAGCGACTCGCAGCTTGGGCTCTGCCTTCCACCCGATTCTCGGAGCTGGCCGACTCCCGAGCCTTTCAGCAGCTCTGCAGAGAAACTCCGTACAGGGGAGCCGTTCTGGCCTTCTCCGTGGGAGGGACCCTGCAAGCATGGAGGGCTTGGCTGGAGCTCTGCATTTCCTGCTCTTCACGCAATGAACCTGCAGGCCTCTAGGCCTGGAGCCCATCTCTCAAGCCCTGTCCTAATCCTTCTTTTGCAGTCTCCAGGGAAACCACATTGGGGAATCTGGTGCCAGGATGATCTCAGAGGCTATCAGGACAAATGCTCCTTCGTGCACTGTTGAAATGTGAGCAAAACAAGTTCCTGGTGGACCTGGCAGGAGGACAGGCAGAGCAGCAGCTGGAAGCTTTGGAATGGAAAGACCATTTCCCGGGACTCCTTCCTGTGGTCTGGGAGTGACGCTGACCCACACAGGAGCTGGTCTCCTGCAAGGAGGCAGGAAAGGTGCTGCCAAAGAGGTCACGAGCAGCTCTCCTAGACCTGGGTCAGTCCCAGCAGGGGTGAGCGGGATTCTCTGCTATGTTGCAGAGCAAGGAAGGGCTCCATCAGTGACACAGGCCTTAAAGCTCAGGAGGTAAGAAGCCGGTGTGAACTCGTTTATACCTGGAGGTCTTCACGTGCCCTTAACATTTATTATTATTGCCCTTCTCTGCTGGTCACAGTCATCCCCCCCACTCTGCCATCCTCGAGCCTATACAGGGGATTCATTTGGCATTGGTGACAGAAGGGACCTTTTTTTTTCTCAAGAAGAATACAAGGTTTTAGGAGTATGATCCTTAGAGACACATGGAAAAATTAGAATTTTTTTGAAGAGAAATGAAGGCTTTCATTACAGGATTTTGGAGAAAAAGACAAAAAAAGTTGTCCAAGCTTCTTGCCATTATCCATTACAAAATCTCTCAAAGGCACAGATTGTCTGGCAGACGTGACGTGGGGTCTAGCATGCGGGTCATCAACAGCACGGTAAATGTGGATGTCTTCATGATGTTCCTCTACGCTGGCTTCCAAAGCACGCCTGTGCGCAAAGTTTCTCCAGGAAGGCGAGCAAGCTGGGCCTCCACGTGGTACAGCTTCCCTCGGTGTCTGTCTGTGAGGAAGGGGAAAAGATCCCGATGGACGCCACAGCTCTCATGCACTAAATAACCAAGGGAAATGCTTATTAAGATTATGATGCAATTCTCACTTTCAAGTTTGAACAGAAAGCACTCTTCTAAATGTGCCTTTAAAACTGAGTATTCGAGCAAGAATCCTCAATGGATGCTAAAACTATGGATGAAAGTCTTATTAAGGGAGAAGATACTCGCCCGGCCTCAAAATCTCACCCCAGAAGGGATAGCTCCGAAGGGGAAAAAGGTATCTTTAAAGATAGACAATTCTGCAAATGCTTTCTTAACAAATGATTAAACTTAACATCACTGGTAAGGGGCCGGATGGACACAATAGGCCTCCGACGGGACGCCCGGAGGACACACCATGCCAAAGACACTGATTTGAACCCATCAGGAAGGTACAATTGGACAAAATCCAAATCAAGCAGCATTCTGCAAAAGATAAAAACTAGCCTAACCTCTTCAAAAAAGTCAGTGCCATGTAAAATACAAAAGGCTGTGGACTATTTTAAACTGTAGGAGATTGAAGAGATGTAACTCCTTACTGCCAGATCTCTGATTGGATCCTTGACTGAAGAAAATCCGCCATAAAGAAAAGTTATCTGGAAACAGGGGACGTCTGAACATGGGTCTTGTGTTATATTTATGTGGATTGCTGGGTTTGGAAACATTTTTTTTGCTGGGTATAGAATTTTAGGCTGGTATTTGGCTCTTGGTACTTTCAAGATGCTGCTCTACTGTCTTCTGGTGTGTGCAGTGTCTGGCTGTGCCCACCTAGTCGCGAACTTGACGGATCGAGTTGCGGTAGCCCAGCGGCGGAGAGAGCCATGCTGTGCAGGAATCCAGCGCCAGACAAACCCCGGGCCTTGAGAAAAATCATGCTCTCCAGGGACTTGAAGAGCAAGCCGCACCAAAATGGGAAGGAAAGCCCCTTCCTTCTCCAAAGTCTCTGTAGCAGCCTACTGACAAGGCCCACGCTCTTGCCGTCTGGCAGAGCAGAGACATTTTACAAGGAATAGCTCCACCACCACGGGGCAGGACAGAGGGGAACTGCACTGAGGCAGTAAACCCCCAGCCAGGGATGGGACTTCTCATTTTCTCATTTTGAACAGTTTCAACTCTTGTGTCTTCGTGGCCAGTATGTTGTTCACTTCTGCCGTGACTCAGTCCCAGTTGGCACAGTCTTTCTCTCACTTTTTTAACCTCTAGAAGTTTGGAGATGTCCTTACGTCTTCCTTATCTCTTCTTAATATGCTCAAACCTCCCTCCACCATCTCAGTAAAGGGACAAGAGTTAAAAATATCTGAATGTCCTTTTTTTTTTTTAAAGATTTTATTTATTTATTTGACAGAGAGGTCACAAGTAGGCAGAGAGGCAGCCAGAGAGAGGAGGAAGCAGGCTCCCTGCAGAGCAGAGAGCCCGATGTGGGGCTTGATCCCGGGACCCTGGGAACATGACCTGTGCCGAAGGCAGAGGCTTTAACCCACTGAGCCACCCAGGTGCCCCAGTCTTTTTTTTTTTTTTTTTTAAACTAATTCTATCATCTGTCATTTCCAGGTTGTTTCATTCGAAGGCTATTGTGGTCCAACTCCTGAGGCAATGTCTCCATATTCTGGGTACTCTACCTGATGCCCAAATCAAAAATCTCTTTTGGGGCCTTATCTACAACAGACACTATAGAAATCCAGGTGTAAAAAGATCGTGACATCAACCAAAGCCATCTCACTCTAAATGGTAGCACCACGGGGCACCTGGGTGGCTTGGTCAGTTAAGCATTTGTGTTCAGCTCAGGTCATGATCTCAGAGTCCTGGGATCAAGCCCTGCATCAGGCCTGCTTGGCAGGGAGTCTGTTTCTCCCTCCAACCCTCCCCCTGCTTATGCTCTCTCTCTTGAAATAAATAAATAAAATCTTTTATTTTTATTTTATTTTATTTTTTAAAAGATTTTATTTATTTATTTGACAGAGATCACAAGCAGGCAGAGAGGCAGGCAGAGAGAGAGGGGAAAGCAGGCTCCCCGATGAGCAGAGAGCCCGATGTGGGGCTTGATCCCAGGACCTTGGGATCATGACCTGAGCCTAAGGCAGAGGCTCAACCCACTGAGCCACCCAGGCACCCCTAAATAAAATCTTTTAAAACAAATGGTAGCATCAGCCCAGCTGGTTATCTGGTGCCTACGTTTTCAATACATAGTACAGATTAAAACAGAATGACCTCTAATGAAGCCTTTGCTTCATCAATTACAACACACACACTCTCTCTTATAATAAGATCCAACCCCTCCCCTTCCACAAGCTCGTTCCTTCCAGTTAAAATATCATGCTCAAGTTTTCTTCTCAAAAAACAAAACAAAACAAAACAAAACAAAACCTCCCCCCGCCCTCCACAATGTTCTTCAACCACACGTTCCTTCCCTGGCCGAGCCCTCCTTTCTCTTGTGACCGCCCACCTTTCTTAACACTCGTCAGGACTCACCGTGTTCTCTTCAGCCCGTCACTGGCTACCTGCCTGCCTCTGGCTAAGGTCACTGGAGATTCCCTAACTGCCAAATTCAGTGGCCTCTTGGACTCAAGCTCATTTACAACAGGGGTTTAGCACTTGCCACCTCCCCCCATTTGGAGAATCTCCCCTGCTTCGGCTTCCATACCACAACATTCCAGTCCTCCCACCTTTTCGTTACCCCTCTTCTTCAACACTCTTTAAGGGAAAAAAAAACATTTCTTCCTCATTATTAAAGTAAAATACAGTCACTTTAGAAAACTTAGAAAATACTGTCCCAGTCTCTTCTTCTGGCCTCTTGTGGCCTTTGCCCCTGAGACACAGGCACTTTCCCAGGCCTCCCGCTCGGCTCTCTTCCCATCCCATATGTTCTCCCCTGAGGACTCTCATAGGAAAATGATCCTCAAACCTCAGCCTCCAGCCCTTACCCTTTCCTTTACCTTTACAAAAATTCATCGAAACATTCATAGTAACACATAGTTTAAAAAGCCAAAAATTGGGCGCCTGGGTGGCTCAGTGGTTAAAGCCTCTGCCTTCGGCTCAGGTCATGATCTCAGGGTCCTGGGATCGAGTTCCGCATCGGGCTCTCTGCTCAGCGGGGAGCCTGCCTCCTCCTGTCTCTCTCTGCCTGCCTCTCTGCCTACTTGTGATCTGTCAAATAAAAAATAAATAAATAAATAAAAATAAAAAATAAATAAAAATAAATAAAAATAAAAAGCCAAAAATTACTAGGCTTATAAGGGCAAATGGCAGTCTCTCTCTCATCCCTCCCCTTTCCGAATACCCCTACTCCCCAAACTAAATGTCCTGTATGTGCTATTTCTTACCATCTTAGAGATTATCTCTTGCCTTCTATACGGTAAAGGGCACTTGGACGTCCATCAGCTTACATCCCCACTTTTTGTTTCTCTGTCCTTCCAACATAGTTATTAGAGTATGATTTTTGTTTAAATCATTAGTGTTTACCTTATGACTTTACCTGTATTCATCACTCCTGAGCCATTCTCTCCTATCTAATAATGTATTGTTCTTTTTAGAATTAACAGTGCATCTTTTAAAAGCTTAATTTTCTATGTTACTGTTGCTTAACCCTTCCCAGACTGCCCAACAGAAGTGTACAGTCAGAACACTGTGTCTCAGACCCCGGGGTTTCCCATCAGTGACATGTTTCCCTGATGACATTCCTTCCTGAGCGTTCTGTGCTCCCTGTTCTAGTCACACCGTTACTGCAAGGAAGGGCTTCTGCTCTGGGCAGTTTCAGTTCTCTTCCAAGGCTGCCAGGCCCGGATCAGGCAGCTAAGGGCCCCCCCCGGGCCAACCCAACAACTGGGATACTCACGCAGTGTGCTGTTATCATCAGGGGACTCCGCTTCCTTTCAGACGGGCGACACTGACCATTGCAGTTAAGATGCTACTGAAAGAGCGCCTGCAGGTCCTCCTCCCGTCCCGGCTACACGGGAAACAGTTCTCGAATCGCCCATTGGAAGTCCTTGGACTTTGTTCTCACTGCTGCCGCCAATAAAAATTAAGGACTTAAAAAATCCCTTTACGGGGATGCCTGGGTGGCTCAGTTGGTTGGACGACTGCCTTCGGCTCAGGTCATGATCCCCGAGTCCCGGGATCGAGTCCCACATCGGGCTCCCAGCTCCATGGGGAGTCTGCTTCTCCCTCTGACCTTCTCCTCGCTCATGTTCTCTCTCACTGTCTCTCTCTCAAATAAATAAATAAAATCTTTAAAAAAAAATCCCTTTACGATGTCTGTCAGTATACAAGTTGTAAAGCATGTTAAGAGGTCCTTTAATGACACAGTTTAAAACATTAACAACCGTTGACAATGATCTAAATACCAGTTTTCCACTGACCTACTCACACCGTCTTCTCTGGGGCCTGAGTCTGCTCTGATGCTTGGCTAAAACCAGTGACACGAGGTCCCAAGTCACGTGCACAACCTGACTGCTGGGTCTGTCACAGGGGGGACAGACAGATGTTAGTAACTGTGATCAGTGCTTAAAGCTCCTTGGCTGACATAAGCTGCTCAAGCAAGGAAGTGCCATTCCGTGGTGAGACTGTGCAAATCAGGTAACCGAGGGGTGAAGGATGACCCAGAGGGAGGTAAAATAATAAACCGCCCACTGCGTGGGCACCTCTATCTGTGGAGGGGGGTTACCTGCGGCACGGGCCACGCTCCTGCCATAATGCCCACGAGAAGCAAGCGCCATGTAAGGGAGACAGAAATGCCTTTTTTTTTTTTTTTCTTTTTCAAATATAAGGCAGGTCCGACTCAGGAAACCAAAACTAGAACATCCAGGAAGACGCAGTGACTTCCACACCTCAGAAGCCACGGCCTCTGAAGGGTCGGTGCGGCTCCTGACACTCCCATTTCCCTGTTACCTCATCATTCACATCTCAAATCGCCAGTGAATTAACTGAATGCTGAATGTTTAAAAAAGGTGTAATCTCTTATGTAGGAATTAGGAAAAGAAAGAGACAAAAGCAAAGATACAAATAAATTGTCACATCATCTCCTAAAAATTTACATGTACCACAGTAACCTATGAACTTCTCCTATGTATTTACATTATAGTGCAAATAAACAACGTAATTATACTTTCAAGTAAAACTTACATAATGATATAAAAATATGGAATTAAATACATTTATCATGAATTAAATAACTTCAGAAGACTTCTGACTTTAGAACTGAAATCTAAATGAAAACTGCTCTGTGTTTTCCGCATCAGAAAAACAAAACGGCTCCATCTGCCACTTCTCACTTCACATCAGGCTAATTATTCTAGTGCTACTCGATCTAACACATTCTGGTTCATCTTTTTAGAGTCAGAAACACAAGTGTGTACCAACACTTCTTTATTTGCTTTCCTGAGGAGGAATGCCAACCTTCTGAGAGAAAATGGAGCATTTACATTCTGCAGCATATCTCTGTTACCTGATCTTTAAGGACAGTGGGTTTTCATCTAACTTAGCTAACGTTCATTCGGAACATTTTAGCAAAATACATTTAAAGCTTGGTATTGTGAATGTACAGAAGCAAGAAAATAGGGTGACAAAACAAAAGCTAGAGTTAAAAGCCGATGTACAGTAAGTGTCCCAAACTGCACCAGTGAGGAGGACCCGGACGCCTCCCCACAATTCCTGAACAGTCCTGGAGCCCAGCCCCATGTCCGTCCCCCTGACTGTGACAGGAAAACACATCACAACGATAGCTGAGACCCGATGCTGCCATCCCTTCTCCTGGGGTGTCTGTCCCGAACAGGTGCATCTCTAAGAACACTTGCATTTCCCACGTTTCAGGAGACAAGACCAAACCCACATCCCATCTGGGACTTGCTTCAGTTCTCGCTGAAGCTCTGCGGGGTAACACAGGGGAGGCTACAGAGCAAGTAGGTGGTGTTCATTAACAACGAGTCTAGCTGGTTTAGTGAACAAAATAGGTTTCCTTCCTAACCTTCCAACTTCCCTTTTACCTATAGAACTGAGGGATTTAATCAGTGTGGTCCTTTGGGCAAAGGGGTCAGAAGTCATTGTCACTCTCATCCAGGGGCTCAGGCTTCCGGACCCTTCGAGTGGGCTTAGCTGGCGAGAGAGCAACGCTCTCTTCTTCCAAATCGTCATCTTCATCCCCCTCCATGTCAATCTCACTGTCCTCGGAGTCCTCCTACAGGAAGACAGCAAAGACAACTGAGGGCCCATCTCATTCCCTGCAGCGTGTCAGCCAAGACCCTCGTTCACCAGCAGCTCAGGAACCAGCAACACCCGCATGTGAAGGCAGAGCTGGGCGGAGCAGCAGTCGGGCTGCGGAGGCGTGAGGGGGACCCTGTCTCACACCGCTGGCAGAAATACACACACGACTGCATCAGCGGACCAGCGACCTCCAGATGGCAGCGTGCAGCCACAGGGGCTGGATTCCCCACCGAGGTCTCAGCACCACCACTGGATCTGCACCGCAACTCCCCAGACCCTGCTCTGCCCCTGGGGAACCGGACACCCACCAAAGCACAGCAAGGAGGGCGGGGCTTGCAGATTAGGAGGGCTGGGTTTTTTGGTTTGCTTGTTTTTTGCCGTTTACCAGATTAGGGATGGAAAGCCACACAGGGAATGGGTATTAGCAAAATAAGCGCAACGCTCTCTCCATCACCTCCATCTAAGGTGACCAACTCGGCCAGGTTTTAAAACTGCAGGTCCTGTTTCCCAGGTAAACCAAGATGGCCAGCGCCTCGAGCTAGATCATTCCCACCAGCATACATAACATGTGGCAATTTCCTTCTTCTTAAAAACACAAAGCAAAACAAAAACCCCAAAGTGTATCCCACCTTCCTCTCCAGCTGCTCTGCCCTGTTCCTTTACCCCCACAACAATGAAGCTCCTCGAAGGAATTCTGAACCCACGACCCTACTGGTTTCCCCTCTCACTGCCTCCTCGGCACAGCCAGCAGGCCTGCACCTTGCCAATCCACCGAAACCCTCAGCGGACTCACATCCAGTGGTGAGTCGCAGGTGTCTCCCGACCTCCAGGCCGCGGCGGGCGCAGGACCTCTTCTTCCGCGAAAGTGGGTCTGCTGCAGGCGCCCTACCGTCCGGCCGCCTGCCCCACCTCACTCCGGCATCGTCCCAGCCTCGCACACCCCCACGCCCTCCATCTCCATGACTCTGCGACTCGGCTCAGCTCAGAGCCTTGGGCCCCCTCTTCTCTTTCTGCGCTCTCCCCAACACAATCACATGTACCTTGGGGCTGGAAGACCGCCTGATTATGATGGCTCCCAAACTCAACCAGCCCCGACCTGACCTTGCACACCACACTTGAACTCCAACTGGTTACTCAACCCCAGCACGTGGATGGCCGGCAGGCAATGCGCATGCAAAATGTCCGAACTCCTGCGCTGCTCTCCAAGCCCCTGCTCAGGCCTGCCCCAGCTCAGGGAAATGCAGACTCCATGCGTACTGTTAGCCCATCATGACCCATTTCTGTCTCTCTTTCTCACACCCCACGCCCAATAACAACACTTCAGTGTTCTGATCTTGGAAAACATCGAGAGTCCGACCACTTCTTTACACCTCTGCTGCCACTACCTTAGGCTGAGCTGCCAGCACCTCCGGACTACTGCAGACGCCTCCCGACGGTGTCTCTTAAATGTTAGCTCTTGGCACCGCAGGGCTCATGATTTCCGGCCCCTTCCCACTGCGCTCAGAGAAACTCTGGGTCCTCGTCACGTCCTGCAAAGCTCTGCCTGGCCCCTGCTACCTCTCGCAGCTCCCGCCCCCAGCCCACTCCACCCTAGCCACGCCACTCTCTCTGGTCCCTGGGCCTCGGATGCCCCTCCCTGCACCACATCCTTCCTTCCATTCAGGCCTCTGCCCAAATGTCACCTTACCAGAGAGATATTCCCAGACTTCCCAAAAGACAGCAATCTCCTTCAACCCTGTCACTCTGCTCCGGAACTGCTTTTTCTCCTTGCTACTGTGACCTGACATGCCGGTTGATTCCTGCTGGAATGTAAGCTCCCTGAGGACAGGGGCGTGCAGTCCATCACCTCTAACACTTGCATGTAACAGCCACTCGGTACGTATCTGTCAAGTGGAAGAGTGAGCCCGTGAAGGACAAGGCCGCGTGCCTGCGGAGCGTGTGGAGGCAGCGTCCCGGAAACAAACAAGCGACACAAGGCACAGGGGAGACGTCAGCCGTAGCTCGGACTTTCGCTCTGCGAAAGCTACACGTGTGACCAGGCAGATCGGAAGAAAAGATGCCAGACAGAGCTGTCTGGGCATCCCCAGCACCCAGGCCAGACTTATTTCTACCTCGAATGGCTAAGATGGATGGGCGGAAGCTACATAACCACCCATCCCTGACTGTTAGAGAATGCCCGACGTGGTTCCTCTGCTTCTCTAAGACCACCTTCTGTGATTTCTAGGCTTGATCTTCTTTGTGCATCTCGGCCAGCAAACCTGAGTGACCTCTATCTCCCTCTGTGGATTTTGGTCACAAAATATACTGTTGGTACTAAATAAAGGAATCTTTTGTACAAGGAGGTCAGGCTCATGCTCTGTCCCTGTGTAGCCACTACTGCCATGCTCCAGACACATGTGGGAACGACCTGATAAGGAGGTCTGTGGTCTGTCAGCCTAATCACCCTTTGCCTCACAGGCTTACCAGAGGCTGCCACAAAGAAGGCAGGCCCAGGGTGGTGGATGGGGCAGCCCTGGCAGCAGGGGCCCATTCCAGTGAGTTTCCCCAACAGTATTACCTCAAGTACACGCAAGGCGCCAACAGCCTGAGGTCGCAGCCTCCTGCCCAGCCTGGTGACCTTGTCTCAAGAGAGCCTCCTTTTCCTGTTTCCTCCCCAGAATGGAATTGAAGAGAGGGTTGGTCTTGACCCCGGGCCCTCAGCAGGTTCCCTTCTTTTCCAGGTTACACTTCAAGGACCTAATGGCCTTTCTCATCTCTTGGCTCAGCACTCAACGCCCTCTCCTGCAAGGAACCTCCAGGCAACTGCACCATTCTCTGCAGGAGAATGCATTCTCTCACCCAGGAGACAGAGACATCACTTCTGGGGAAGGCTCTCTGCTGGCCCTGAGTCGGCTAACACACACACACACACACACACACACACACACACAATGAAAAAGAAAACCAACCTGCTTCTTGGAGCTGGAAGTCTTGCATTTACCTAAGAGAGCTGGTGCTGCTTCCATCTTTGGAAAGCGAGAATGGAAAGAATAGTGAGAAGGAAAAAAAGGTGGGGGGAGGGCAAGCACATTCATTTGAAAAGAAAAGAGCCATCCACAAGCAGAGAAGAGTGGGGCTCCTCGAACTCCAGCGCACAGCCAGCAGCGGGCCAGGCTGGGAGGCAGCCCCTCGCGCCCAGCCTGTTGGCTCAGCCCGAAACCAGCCCGGGAGCGCGAAGAACAGAGATGCTAAAGGGAGCTGGTCGGGACTCACGTCGTCATCGGAGTCTCCGCCCTGCATTGTGCCCACGATGCGTTTGCCAGGTCTTCCTAAGGAGAACCAAAGTGTGAAGAAATTATGAAAACCTTGTTAAAAAAAGTGGGGGGGGGCAAGAAATGGCATTCAAGATTTGTTTCCCTCAGAAAATTGGGAGAAACAAGAATCAACTAAAAAATTTATTTAAGTCTCATCTAAATGATCAAAACTGCCAAGAAACAGTAATGGATTTTCCGCCTTTCCACTTTGAGAAAAAGGAAAAGGGCAATAAAATACAATCACAACTCAAACCAGAACACTAAATATGCATCCTGGACATGTTTTCAGAAAAACCACTAACCCCCACTCTGAGTATCTACATGGTAGAAGAGCTGTGCCATCTGCTGAAAAAAGAAAGGCCGTCTCGCTGCACAGACCAGTGTTACTCGTAGCTGAACCTATGTCTGATCTCCGAAGAGGGAAACTTCTAAGGATCGCTATTAATTCATCTTTCAAAACACCCACATTGCCTCAGTGATTCTCCCCTCTCCTCTGGAAGTCACAGTCACCTGGCTGTGACTTCTGCAAACACCCAGGAGCTGTCCTTCCCTGGCGGGAGGCAGACAGCCACTCTCACACTCGACCCCTGAGAAAGGAGCACCGGGGACCCAGGTCCACGCTGCAGGGTGAAGGCAGGGAAGGCAGCTCAGAGGGGAGCTCGCTCAGGACAGGCCCGGGGTGACCACCCTTGATCAGATAAAATGCAAACCTTGTGTTGTCTAAAGCCCTTATTTACAGTTCTGAGATTTTCCTTCTGGTGGCTGGGCGGTCAGCAGAATTCAGAAGCACCAGTGCCTCTATCAGGGTTTCCTGAGACGATCACATCCCTTTTCAGAGCCTCAGCTCCCACCTGCTGAGTGGGAGTCATGACCCCTGGCCTCTACTTGCATGATGAAGCTGTTAAAACTAAGAGGAAAGGGGCGCCCGGGTGGCTCAGTTGTTAAGCATCTCTTGATTTCAGCTCAGGTCGTGATCTCAGGGTCATGGGATCAAGCCCTGGGTTGGGCGCCACATTCAGTATGGAGTCTGCTTGAGATCCTCTCTCCCGTTCCCTCTGCCCAGCCCCCATCACACTCTCTAAAATAAATTTTAAAACCTTTAAAAGAAAAAAAAAGACTGGGATGCCTCGGTGGCTCAGTGGGTTAAGCATCTGCCTTCAGCTTGGGTCATGATCCCAGGGTCCTGGGATCAAGTCCTGCATCAGGCTCCTTGCTCAGTGGGGAGCCTGCTTCTCCCTCCACCAGCTGCACCCCCTGCTTATGTGCGCACTCTCTCTGACAAATAAATACGTAAAAATCGAAAAAAGAGCAGTTAGCAGCAAAACTTAATATAAAATGAAGATAACTTACCTCAGAAATGTACCATGTATATAAAAATGCAAACTGCTCCAAAAATTAACAGCTGGTAGATAGATGTTTTAAAGACAAATATAAAGCAACTTAGTGGTATCTACCAAAACAAAGATTTATATAAACTTTGACCTAAGAATCCCACGTTTAATGGTACAAACATTGCAGATAAGCAGAAAGATGTATATACAAAGGAAAGAGGAAAAATAAATATTTTTTTAAGGATCTTTTAATATGTGACTGCCCAAGTAAATTATGGGTACGGTCACGCTACGGAACACTCTGCAGCTGTCAAAAGAATGAAGCAGATTTCTAGTTTACTGACATGGAAGGAGTTCTAATATATTTAATAATTTTTTAAAAATCAAGTTGAGAACAATACACAAAGTCTGGTACCATTTAGGTTAAAAGATGTCTCAGCCGATCTTTGTGTCTGTATTTCACTGTATACGTGTGGAAAGGCAATTTGGAAAGACACATCCCCCAGCCACTGACCAGGACCCCTCTAGGGTGGAAAGTGGGACACGAAGAAGACCCCTGGGGAACACCCACATCTGCTCCACAGATTTTTTTTGACTTGAGTGCTTAGCAGTGAAAAAGTAGAAACTAGAAGATTTTTAAAAGGCAGAGATGGTTGTGTGAATCCCTTCTCTATGCACTGGTTCTCGGATCATAGGGGACGCCACTGCACTGAGAGCAGTTTGGACCCAAAACGGGGAGAGTACAGCTCCGTGCCAGAGGCTGGGGATTGCCATGGCCTCTGTGAGAAACCCAGGCCACAAAGAACAACCAGCTTTTCTTGGCACCACAGGTAAGAGTATTAGCAGCAAAGGTGAGCAGTGGAAGGGCCTAGTCCGGCTACACAAGAGGCAGCATTCTGCGCCGGAGCGCTGGGAGGAGGGCGAGGAAAGCAGCACGGTACCTTGCATGAGCACCTCCATGGCCGTCCGTGGCTTGGACAGTCGCCTCTCCTCCAGTTCACTGTCAGATTCATCATCTTCCTGGATGTCAATGTCCGAGTCATCATTACCTAGGAGAACACAAGAACACAGAACGAAAGGGGGGCTCCATCATTGCTGCTAGAACAGCTTCTAGCCACAAGGCTCTTGTGCAAAACCGTCTGCACTTCTCAGCCTTCTTTTAGTGCATTAGATTTTATGAGACTCTCGGGATTTGCCTGTAGATACTTAGGAGTTAACGCAGACAATGATATACTGGTTTGTTTTGTTTTGTTTTGAAATAACCTTCCAAAGCAAGGCATCAGAATACATCAACTAGAAACACTATGCTGGCGGCTAAAACTAAAAATTGAACAGCCAGCTGTCAAGGTAGCTGGAAGTTCTTGGTTAGTTGGGGGGGGGGATCATTCTCTGTTCAGTGTTACCCCAACTTGAGCTCTTTGTGGATAACGAAGATGAGGAAGTGGAACCCACTGCAAAGGTGAGTGACTGCGCCAAACAAGCCCGCTGGCAAGACAGAGACCGGGCCAGCAACGTCCAAGCACGCGGCTAGCCCACGAAAGATGGCAACCTAGTGCACGGTGACGGGAGCTGGTACTCAGGACACTGCTTCCAGGAGAGAATTCAATCACGGGCATATATAAAGAGAGATCGTTCTCAGTGCAACAGCCTTATACACTGATTTCTTAAATACTCTCCGGGACTCTGGTGGGACGTTTCCGACAGTGAACCTAGAGAAGGAGTGTTTCCACAGTGGAGAGAAAAAGTTTTCACCGTCCAGCCTGATTCCCTGTGACCAGGGAGACACACTGGTTTTGGAGGACGGAACTGAAGGAGTTTGCAGTTTCTGTTCTGATCACTGAGTCAGAAGTCAGTGTGGAAGGACAGTAATTGTGTATCTATGAAAAGGCTTTGCTTAGCCCCTGTGATAGGGGGTAGGGAAACGGCAGCTGCATCCAGCTGGGCACTGAGGGAAAGGGCTCCACTTCCCTCCCCACGGAGGACGAGCAGTGCTCTCCGCACGGAAAGGCAAACCTGGGAGCCTGGGCAAGCATGAGGACGAGCACCCAGCACCGGCCTCAGCACAACCTAGCTGATCACTACCACCGCATAGAAGCCTACTCAAAGAACATGCTGAAATATTAACACAAATTTATGACTAAAATGAAATTCCTGGGGCTCCTGGGTGCCTCAGTGGGTTAAACCTCTGCCTTCGGCTCGGGTCATGATCTCGGGGTCCTGGGATTGAGCCCTGCATCCAACTTTCTGCTCAGCAGAAAGCCTGCTTCCTCCCCTCTCTCTGCCTCCTCTCTGCCTACTCGTGTTCTCTTTCTCTGTCAAATAAATAAATAAAATCTTTTTTAAAAAAATGAAGCATGGCGAGGTGCCAGGGTGGCTCAGTGGTTAAGTGTCTGTCCTCGGCTTGGGTCACGGTCTCCAGGTCCTGGGATCAAACTCCCCGTCGCTTCTCCCTCTCCCTCTGCCTGCCACTTCCCCTGCTTATGTGCTCTCACTCTCTCTCATATAAAGTCTTTAAAAAATATATAATTCAGTATGGCAGACAAGAATGCCCATAAAATTCAGCGTCAAGAATAGTCTTTCCAAAAGATGGTATTGAACGACTGGACAGCCCCATACCCAACAATGAGGCTGGATCCCTACCTCACACCACATGCAAAAATTAACTCAAAATGGATCAGAAATCTAAATTAAGAGTTGTAACTGTAAAAGTCCTGGAAGAAAACCTAGGGGTAAATCCTGGTGACCTTAAATTAGGCAATGGTTTCTTAGATGTGACGCTAAAAACACAAGTGACAAAAGGACAACTGATGGCGTGGACTTCATTAAAACTTTGGGCAGCAGAAGCCATCACCGGGAAAGTGAAAAGACAGCCCAGAGAATGAGAGAAAATATCTGCAAATCACAAATCATATAAGGATCTAGTATCCAGAATCTATATAAGAACTCTAGCAATTCACTAATAAAAAATAACCCAATTTAAAACTGTCCAAAAGACCTGAACAGACAGAAGTCTCCAAAGAAGATTTATATGAATAGCCAATGAGCAAAGAAAAGATGCTCCATTTCATTAGCTATCAGAGGAATTCACGTCAAAACCACAATGAAAATACACTTCATACCCACTTCACCTACGGGCAGTTTCTTTGTGTCTCCTTTGAGATCAGCACAGTCCAAATGTAATGCCTGCTGTCAGATGTAATTTCAAATCATTTAGTAACAACGTTAAAGTAAAAAGAAAACAGGTAAATTAATTTTAACTTAACCCAGTATATCCAAAATATCATTTCAATATACAATGTAAAATATTAATTAATGAGTAACTGTACTTTTCTATCATACTAAGTTTTCAAAACCTGGTGTATATTTTCCACAAACAGCAAAGCTCAGTTTAGACCAGCCACACCTGAAGTGCTCAAGAGTCATATGTGGTTGGGGCGCCTACATGGCTCAGTGGGTTAAAGCCTCTGCCTTCAGCTCAGGTCATGATCCTAGGGTTTTGGGATGGAGCCCCACATCAGGCTCTCTGCTCAGCAGGGAGCCTGCTTCCCTTTCTCTCTCTGCCTGCCTCTCTGCCAACTTGTGATCTCTCTCTCTCTCTGTCAAATAAATAAATAAAATCTTTTAAAAAAACCAAAAAGAGTCATGCGTGGCTTGCTGCGAGGTACTGGGTGGCACAGTTCCAGCCTCTGAGCTTCCCGAGCGCCTCACGCATCACCGTGTCCCGAGCACCGGCACAATGCCTGCATGCAGGAGGCAGGCAGTAAAGTAAGTGTTAAATGCAGGAATATCTGCTCTCCACTAGAACATAAAAATTAAACCACAGCAAGGTTACTGAAGTGTTTTCTATAAATTTCTCAGTCATTTTATGAATTTACCACCCGCAGCAAGGTTTAAAAGGATGGTGGGAAGATGAAGGCTGCTTTACTTCTAGCACAGAGTATCTGAACAAAATACTTGACCTTGCTCCTAGGGCATTCTCCTATCTCTAAGCACTCAGACTTTCTCTCTCTTCTTCAAGTCCCTTCCTCCAAACCCACAAAGCCAGTTTGGTGACTTCAACTCCTGCTCAACAGAGAAGACAGGAGGTCAGATGGGAGCCCTTCAGCACACGATCCGCCTTCCAGCTCGTCTGTCCTGCCTGAGTTCAAGTCCTGCATTCACACATTCAGCAGAGCTCATTGCCTCACTGGGCTCTGCTTCCCGCGCTCTTACAGACTCCCAGGACTCTCACGTGGTGCCTCCTTTCTCCCCACATCCACAGACTGAGGCTTTGCTTCAACAGTATCTCCTATTGAGGCCAAGAGATGCCTACGCTGACACCTACTTAAAATACAATTCCATCCCACCCTCTCCACCCCCTTCTCTGCTCTACTGTACCCCCCAGGGCATTTTTTACCTTCTGCACACAGCTTGCTCTATGCTCATCTCCTCACTGGCAAGTACACTGCTTAAAGCAGAGATCCCTGTCTTTTGTCCATTAATGAATCCTTCACACCCAGAAGAGAGACTCAACAATGCTTCTGGCACTTGATCAGCTGCCTGCAGAGTGGTCTAAACACGATGATCTCTTCCAGCTTCTGGATTTTGCTCATTCTCACCCATAATTCATGTCTGTGTTCTATTAGGTCTTTCTTTTCAGAGAAGTTGTTCAGAAAGTCTTCCTTTTTTTTTTTTTTTTAAGATTTTATTTATTTGACAGAGAGAGAGAAATCACGAGTAGGCAGAGAGGCAGGCAGAGAGAGAGAGGGCAGGAAGCAGGCTCCCTGTGGAGCAGAGAGCCTGATGTGGGGTTCGATCCCAGGACCCTGGGATCATGACCTGAGCCGAAGGCAGAGGCTTTAACCCACTGAGCCACCCAGGCACCCCAAGTCTTCCTTTTTATATCCGCCTCCCCAATCCCAATTGTCTAGGCAATGTTCCCACATATACAGCAAAGCAAAGACAGGCAGAACACCATAAGAACTTCCGGCTGAGCAGAACTGAAAACAGTCCTTCACATTTTCCTACCTTCTTTGCCCACCCCAAGCTAATTAAGTGCTATCCTTCATTCAGTTGCTTTAAGCTGGAAATTATTTTTCCAAAAAAAGCTAAATCAGAGATGCTCCTATGAATGCTTGTCCTTCAAGAGATCCCAAACCTACGGATCACAAAATTAAGTCTGAGTTCAGAAGAATAAAGCAAGATCAGTGAGAAAGGACTCACGTGCTGGCCTGGGAACAGAGGAAGGTGCAGCCAACCCATCAGGGCTCTTACCTGTGCTGGGCCTCTCGGGAGGGGATAAACTCCACGCAGGCTTATCACTTAGGGCCGCTTCAGGCTCTCCTGGCTGACCTGGAACCATAAAGGTGAGGGGCTGCTTTGGCTAGAGAGGCCCTTGGAATTCCCTACACTTGCCCCTACAGGATTTTCCAGCAGTCCCTATTCTCCCTCCAGAGTTTCCTGAGATTTAGGAGAGAGAGGCATATAACAGGTACGAAAGGAGAGAGATACAGAGAGAGAGAGAGAGAGAGAGAGCTCACGTACAAGCCTGAAGCCCCAGGTATGGCATCGTCAAGCACAGGAGAATAAAATATTTCATCTTAAAAAAGAGAGCAGCAAGCAAGGGAAGGAGGCAGTCTGAGACACGCAGTGTGAAGACCGACCGCGTGCTGCCACTGGCCCTGAGGCTGACCTGACATCTCGGTCAAGTTCACGGGTGAAGCACGCTAACCAGTCGTGGAGAACAGTCCTCCCCAGCGTGGAGCTCCTATATACAGTAACCCCATTTCCCTACAGACGACAGCCTCGCCAATCATCTTGGCTCGCTGGGGGCCTAGGACGGGCATGTAGGTAGGGGACTCACTCTAGGCAACTGAGCCATTCGCATGCCCGGCATCACGACACTTGCTTTCCATCAGTCTGCCCGAAAACAAGGCACCCTCCGGACCTCGAGACCCAGCTCTCTGTCCTAGTTCCGTACTATCTGCAATTCAAACCAACAGTAGCCTTCAAACAGGAAAACGGTATTTTAGGTGACAAGAAAACCAAAGTGCTTTCAATGTTATGTAACTTGAACCAGCCCCTTAAGCTCTGGAGTGAATTAAAACGGCGCCTGATACAAGACTTGTGAGGAAACTGCCTTTTGAAAAGCAATAAAATACACACAGAGGTTTTCCGAGGCCCCCGATCGCTGGGGAGGCCGTGCTGGCCCGAGCCCCGCCTTACTTCCACGGCGCAGCAGACGCTCCTCCTCCTCCTTCAGCTTGTTCTGCATCAGGCGCAGAGTGTTCTCGGCCTCCTGTGGGGCAGCAAACACAACACTCAGAAGACAGGACCCTCTGGGGCCGTTTTATTATTCTTCGGCATCTGGGCACGTAGAGCGAAGTCTGGGCTACGGAACGCACGGAGATCTAAGCGATGAGAAGACACCAGCAGCAGCTGAGCCCCGGCTCAGGCCGGGCCACGCGCCCCGCTCTCCGCCAGCAGCAGCCCAGGGAACGGGAGGCAGCCGGGGGGGTGACCGGCCCTCCCAGCCCCGCGGAGAACGCAGTGACATGGCAAGAGGCCATCACGTGTGAGCACGGGTGCCGCCGTGGGATGGGGACACAGGAACAGCCGCATCAACTATGGGACGGTACGGGCCTCCTGCTCCTAAAGACTAAAGTTCTGCACGACTCCAGCCCCCAAAGGGGCGAAATGGTGAGACTGATTAGGATGAAATGAGAAAGAAAGAAATACTCGTCTAACTCCTAGCGGGACAAAAGCTAATGCTTCAGCTGGGCCGCCCATGTGGCCCTGATCACCGACAAAACAGAGAACGGGAGAGGAGACTGGCTTTTAAAAATCTGTTGTTGTAAACATTAAAAAGAGAGCACTGTTTTGTGCACGAGCTAGCGCGAGGGGCCGGCGCTGTAAGCAGGGAGCGGAGCTGCCAGCACAGCAGAAGCGCCGAGCCGCTGCCAAAGGACGGAGGCACGCGCGGCCCAAGGCGCGCTCCCCGCTCCCGGCACGTTCTCTGCCCGCTCAGCGGCCCCACACGACAGCGCGGAAGGATCACTTTACCGTCACTGGCCCAGACACCCAACTTTTAAAATGTCCTGAACTCCAGGCTCTTGCCACTGCCCTCCAAACGTGCCCGTCCCAGACCCGTGGCTCCCAGCCTGCCCTTACCCTAGAGCAACGGTGGTAGCGGGCTCCTCGTCGAGGGAAAGGTGCCCGCAGGAGGGCCTCCTGTGCCCCAAAGGCAGCTTCGCCTGTTCCAAACTCCCAGGTTTGTTGGAAGGCGAGCGTAACCTTTATACCGAAAGCTGTCAAAGACAGCGTGAGAAAGGGAGACTATAGACCGATTTCATCATGAACACAGATTCCAAGTGACCACTCCTGGGGTAAGTAGAAATAACCCCAAGGCATAAGGACAATTAAAAAACTGATAGTAATTTGGTCCAATTTCCTTTGCTCTGAATTCCATATTTATCAGCTCATGGGACCTGAAATGCTCTTTCCTAAATGGCCTTGAACACTGGGATGAGAGGAGCCTGTAAAATCTCTGATTCTGGGTCATACTCATTTCCCACAATAATCAATAAACTGCATTTCCTCTTTATTTTCCTCTTCATCTCTGATACACAGATTTGGATGATTCCATTAACCAGGAGAAATCTTTCAGTGAACTGACCAAGCAAGTTTTTAGATCTTTACCCAAGACCAGTTACCTAGTCTGTGGAACTCAGTACAAATTAAAATGCATTTTAAAAATTATGAAGAATTTCGGGGCGCCTGGATGGCTCAGTTGGTTAAGCATCTGCGTTCGGCTCAGGTCATGGTCCCAACAGCGTCCCAGGATCGAGTTCCGGCATCAGGCTCCCAGCTCCATGGGGAGTCTGCTTCTCCCTATTACCTTCTCCCCCTCATGTTCTCTCTCACTATCTCTCTCTCAAATAAATAAATAAAATCTTAAAAAACAAACTATGAGGAATTTCAAGCCAGTGACAGCACAGCACTGAAGCAAGCACAGGCTCTTCTAAGCTGAGTCTGTGCAACGACACAGGTCACACGTCGGTCCTGTGTGCGGTCTAACTGACCAAAGCCATCAGAGAGCCGACAACCCTCGAGTCCAGGCTACACTAAAAGCAACACAAAAGAATTACATGAGCAATCCTCAAACTTGATCGCGGTGAAAAAACACTCACAGATTTATTTTTTCCACAATGCTATTTGCAAACGGTCGCATCAGCAAGTACATACTAACCCAGCCGAATGGTCTATGCGGACCTATGGGCCAAGCACTTGCCTCAAACCTCTCTTGCTCCATCCTGTGATGGTCTTCAAGCTGCTGTTCCAGATAAGCCAGATTTCGAAATTTCTCTAGATAAATGTCGTACTGCTTTTGCAACTCCTCCTCGATCTTCTCATATTCATCCATAAACGCTGGCCTGGAACAACCGAATGAAATAAAAAGTGAAAGATTAATGAACATACAGAACTTTGAAACTATACTGTGAGTTCTGGGTCCCATCACGGTTTGCTGTGGAAAGCCTGTAAGCTGGAGACAGTTCTTCAACTTGTAGCTGCTTAAAGTTAATTTTCCAGGGCGCCTGGGTGGCTCAGATGGTTAAGCACCTGTCCTTTGGCCCAGGTCATGATCTCAGGGTCCTGGGATCGAGCCCTGTATCAGGCTCTCTGCTCAGCAGGGAGCCTGCTTCCCCCTCTTTCTCTGCCTGCTGCTCTGCCTACTTGTGATCTCTGTCTGTGTCAAATAAATAGATAAAATCTTAATAAATAAAGTTAACTTTCCTTTTCTCCTCCCCCCCCAAAATGAACATACTTATTATTATTTTTTAATCAAAAGCTCAGGGCACCTGGGTGGCTCAGTGGGTTAAAACCTCTGCCTTCGGCTCAGCTCATGATCCCAGAGTCCTGGGATCGAGTCCCATGTTAGGTTCCCTGCTCAGTGGGAAACCTGCTTCTCCCTCTCCCTCTCTCTGCTGGTCCTCCTGCTTGTGCATGTTCTCTCTCTCTCAAATAAAAACAAAAACCAAAAAAAAAAAAAACAAAAAAAAAAACCCCACCTCAAAACAATCAAAAAGCTCCTTGTAAAAATTTGAAATAATCCTGAAAGTATGAAGGCTAAAGTAAAAATTACTCATAATCCGGGTCACCTGGGTGGCTCAGTTGGTTAAGCAACTGCCTTTGGCTCAGGACATAATCCCAGGGTCCTGGGATCGAGTTCCATGTCAGGCTCCCTCTGACCCTCTGCCCTCTCATGTTCTCTCTCTCTCAAATAAATAAAATCTTTAAAAGAAATTACTCATAATCCCATCACCATATATAAGCACTTAATAATTGATAAGCATTTTTCCAGACTTTCCTACGCATGGATACATACATGGCACATACTTTTAAGCATCATTAAGTTTGTTATCTTCAATGAAGCTTTGCCGTCTTTTCTCTTACTCAACATGCCTTGGATTTTAATAGACTTAAAAAGTTATCTTGTGGGGTTCCTGGGTGGCTCAGTGGGTTAAAGCGTCTGCCTTCGGCTCAGGTCGTGATCTTAGGGTCCTGGGATCGAGTCCCACATCGGGCTCTCTGCTCAGCAGGGAGCCTACTTCCTCCTCTCTCTCTGCCTGCCTCTCTGCCTGCTTGTGATCTCTGCCTGTTAAGTAAATAAAATCTTTTTAAAAAAAAAAGAAAGAACACCTTAAAAAAAAAAAAAGTTACCTTGTATCACATATACCTCACAAAATCAAGAAGTTAAATACACACATTATCTTACTTGAGCGTAATACTTGCTGTCTGCATGCTCCAAAATGTATTCAGCCGCCAAAAAAGGGAAACGCAGGTTGCAAAAAATTAAAGCTAAATTTTTTTTTTAAAGACTTTATTTATTTGACAGATACAGATCACAAGTAGGCAGAGAGACAGGCAGGCAGAGAAAGAGAGAGAGAGAAAGGGAAGCAGGCTCCCCACTGAGCAGAAGAGCCCAACGTGGGACTCAATCCCAGGACTCTGGGATCATGACCTGAGCCGAAGGCAGAGGCTTTAACCCTCTGAGCCACCCAGGCACCCTAAAGCTAGATGTTTAAAAAAGACTTTATAATTTTTTTTTTTCTTGAGAGAGAGAGATCGCACACAGGGAGGGGCAGAAGGAGAGGGAGGGAGAGGACCCTCAAGCAGACTCACGCTGAGTGGGGGCCCGACATGGGGCTGCATCACGACCTGAGCTGAAACCAAGAGTCCAACGCTTAACTGACTGCACCGCCAGGAGCCCCCAAAGCTAAGGTTTAACAATATAAAATCGAAAACCAAAACCATAACACAAAAACCTGTTTCAACTGGTTTGCTGAATCTATTCTTTTCTCTTATTTTTGATCTTAAAGGGAAAACTCTTTTTTTAAGATTTTATTCATTTATTTGACAGACAGAAATTACATGTAGGCAGAGAGGCAGGCAGAGAGAGAGAAAGGAGGAAGCAGGCTCCCTGCTGAGCAGAGAGCACGATGAGGGGCTCAATTCCAGGACTCTGGGATCATGACCCGAGCCAAAGGCAGAAGCTTTAAGCCACTAAGCCACCCAGGCGCCCTGGGAAAACTCTCTTCTTTTAACAATATAAACAGGGGCGCCTGGGTGGCTCAGTTGGTTAAGTGTCTGCTTTCCGTTCGGGTCATGATCCCAGGGGCCTGGGATTGAGTCTTCCATCTGGCTCCGTGCTCAGCTGGGAGCCTGCTTCCCCCTTTCCCTCTGTGCTGCCCCCCGTGGTTTCTGTGCTCTAATAAATAAATAAATAAAATCTTTTAAAATATAAATAAGGGGCGCCTGGGTGGCTCAGTCAGTTAAGCAGCTGCCTTTGGCTCAGGTCATGATGCCAGGGTCCTGGGATCAAGTTCCGCACTGGGCTCCCTGCTCGGCAGACAGACTGCTTCTCCCTCTCCCTCTGCCTGCTGCTCTGCCTACTTGTGCTTTCTATCTCTCTGTCAAATAAATAAATAAAATCTTTAAAAAAAATAAATAAAAGTAAAACAGATACACTAAAAAATAATAAATAATCTTTGGGACTAGAGCAAAATACAGAAATTTTTCTATTGAAAGGCCATGAGGCTTAACAAAAATGAATTTATGCCCGAGAGGCAGAATTTTTTAAAAAATATTTTATTTATTTGACGCAGAGAGAGAGATCACAAGTAGGCACAGAGGCAGGCAGAGAGAGAGCGGGAAGCAGGCTCCCTGCCGAGCAGAGAGCCCCATGTGGGGCTCGATCTCAGAACCCTGAGATCACGACCTGGGCCAAAGGCAGAGGCTTAACCCATTGGGCCACCCAGGCACCCCAAGGCAGAATTTTTTAATGAGACACACGTATCAGGTGGCCCAGACTACAAAGGTGGAAGAGGCATGGGCTTGCCTGTGGCTTCCGCTCCCTGGGTTACTCATGTCCGCAGGGGCTATCTTCCCACAGATGTCAGGATTAGTGGCAGGGTGTGGGCCAGTCACCAGTATCTCCAAAAAGCATGACATTCAGACAGATGCAGCAGCTACACAGATGGAGGGAAGAGAGAAAAATAAAGGCAGAATGAAAAGGCAGAGTAGTGATGCAGGAGAAAGACTGACAAGAGATGGAGCAAGAGAAGGAGGGTGCAAAATGAGCAAGAGAAAGGCTCTAAGAAAATTCGAGGAACCCACTTGAAAGGCTCCGAAGACCCGGACGGTACCATTCACAGTCCCTGGAAAAAGGTCCTTTCAGAGAGGGAAAGTCAAAAGAAAGATGAACTGATGAAGAATTACAAAGGTCTAAAATCTGCTCAACTAAGAAATGGTAGCGTGCTTCTGCTTAAACCTCGTTCATGGCAAGGCACAGATCTTAGGAGACGAGCCTTGGGTAACTCTCACCCTCTGGGTTCACTTACTCTGCCCTGCATTCCAAGAAACCATAGAACCCTGAAGGGAGGGTCGAGGATGGAGCCGTTTCCCAGGCATACTGAGAACAGTAAAGACAACAAGTCTGGCAGGGCGCGTGTTAGGACACGTGTGGCCCCCACACCCTCAGTCCAGATGGCCCCACGCCCGAGGGGCTACCACCACTGACCACTTGTCCTCACGCTGCTAGAACGTTCAAGACAACTTTCCACCCACTCTTCAGGGATTTGGATCTACCTGACACTCTGCAGAGTCTGAAGCCGCTTCCGATTTCGTTCCAGTTCTAACTTCCTCTTCTCGATCTTGGCTTCTAGGTTAGCTTCGTCAGAGGCCACGTTGTTGAGCAGATCTTTAGTCTTCTGCACCTGCGCCTGCGTCGAATAGGAAATGAATGAGACGAAGGCCCAGGAAGCAACTCCCATGTGGCTCCCGGAAGAGAGGAATTCCATAGCTCCTCAGGCACAGCGACATCACGCTGCATAAAAGCAAAAGTAAACACACAGAGCACACTCCCCTCCCCCAAGCCATCACTCGGTTAGCCGTTTCCAGACAGGAGGTCACACAGGCCCAGAAAAAATGATCATCTTTTCCCCTGAGAAGAGGGTGTTTGTAGCCACGCAAACAAGGGAGGATGGAAGGAACAGTGTCCCGAGCAGAGGAAGCAGGCGCAGGTCCCCTCACTCCCCTAGTTACAAGCATCTGCGCCACAGAATATATGCACCAGGGGACAAAAAGAAACATCACGTGGTCCCAGCCGTCGTCCGCTGCCTGCCGGGACTGAGAGAGGTGGTTTCCCCTCCCTCCGGCTGGCAAGTACACCTCAACTACAGACTAAAACAGGGAAAGCACTCTGTGAAGTCAGCGAGAAAGCGGCTCCCTCAGTGGACCGAGCCTTTGGGAGGGAGCCTGGGCAGCTGGGGCAGAGAAACAAAGTGAAGGGGAAGAGAGATCACGGACAAAACCCACGAGCCTCTCTGCTGTATCACAAGACCAAGTTCATCTGACAAGCGGAGGTCAGAATGAATGCACGGTCTTCACACCTGTGTCGCCTGGGAAGCTGGCCAGGCAGGCCTACGGCTCAGTTGCAATCTGCCGCATTAGGAACCACATCTGGAACCAGCCAGCTGAGTGTGCCACTGCCTTCTGGGTTCTGATGTGCCAACTCGGCCTTAAGTTCCTGATGCCCGACATGGGGTTCTCCCCCCAGTACTTCAGCACAATGTGTCGCGCCCCGCAAACACTGAGTGACTGGTCACCTGCAGGTCTCTAAGATACTCTAGGGTCCATGAAGAACTCCTCGAAGGAGCCCAGACACTCTCTGTGACTGTCAAAGACAGTGTATATCTGGGAGCAACCACTTTTATTCTTTATTTATGGCTGAACTTTTTCCAACTAAGTACACTAATCATTTCATGAAAATAATCATATCACTCTTCATCGGGAAACCCCGCAAGAGGTCTGAGCTCTCTCTCACAGGAAGACAAGGCAAGTTTCTGAACAGCGCACACTGATGGTGACTCTTCTCTGAATCAGTCAGGCTACACCTAGTGAATTTATCTGACTTCACAAAAAGTTTTTTAAAGGTCTGTGCTCCTCAAACATGAAATACCAGTGGGGCACCGGGGTGGCTCAGTTGGTTAAGTGTCTGACCCCAGTTCTGGCTCAGGTCATGATCTCAGGCTCATGGGAACTAGCCCTGCGCTGGGCTCTGCACTCAGCTGGGAGGCTGCTTGACATTCTCTCTCCCTCTGACTCTCGCCAGCGCAGGCACGCACCCAGACACTCTAATAATCTTTTTTAAAAAACTGTGAAAAAAAAAGTATCCTTGTGATAAACACAATTTCCCCTAGCTTTCTGAAACAAATGGCCTACAGATCATAACCCCAGTATTCATGCTATTGCTTTGGTTTTGTTTTCAGAATTATCACGTATCATGGACCTTTTGCAAGCACAGACACGTTAAAAGGTGCTCGCCATCCACGGTGCACACCTGGGGCTAATCCTGTGTGCCAGCCACTCTTCAAGAAGAAAGAAAGAAAATGTCACCTGGGGGGGGCTCAGTCAGTTAAGCATCTGCCTTCTGCTCAGATCATGATGTAAGGGTCCTGGGATGAAGTCCTTTGTCTGGCTTCCTGCTTAGCGGGGAGTCTGATTCTCCCTCTGCCCTTCCCCCTGCTCATGCTTGCATGTGTGTATGCACATGCTTCCTCTCTCTCTTGCAAAATAAAAAAATCTTTGAAAAAAGGGATGGGTGCCTGGGTGGCTCAGTGGGTTAAGCCTCTGGCTTCAGCTCAGGTCATGACCTCAGGGTCCTGGGATCAAGCCCTACATCGGGCTCTCTGCTCAGCAGGGAGCCTGCTTCTCTCTCTCTCTGCCTGCCTCTCTGCCTACTCATTATCTCTGTCAAATAAATAATAAATAAAATCTTTTAAAAAAATAAAATAAAATAAGAGAGAGAGAGAGAGAGAGAGAAATCTGTGCCCAGGTTTCAGCACCAAATAAATAAATAAATGGAAAACCTGAAAATCACTTAAATGCCCAGCAGCAAGGAAGTGGTTAAAGTATGAAGAGTCCATTATTATTATTATTTTTTAAAGATTTTTATTTATTTGACAGACAGATCACAAGTAGGCAGAAAGGCAGGCAGAGAGAGAGGAGGAGGCAGGCTCCCTGCTGAGCAGAGAGCCCGATGTGAGGCTCGATCCCAGGACCCTGGGATCATGACCTGAGCTGAAGGCAGAGGCTTTAACCACTGAACCACCCAGGCGCCCCTGAAGAGTCCATTAAATAGAGCATTACTTAGGAAAATTGAAGAATTTAAAAACATTATTAAATTATTAAAACTGACAAATTTGGGGGGAGAAGTTGTTCATATTTATAACAAGGGGGAAAAAAAGGAAGTAAGTAACCTAGAATGTATCCTAGAACATCCTCTGCATTTCCCATTTCCCCACGATCATATCCCTGCTCTGTCACTAGGCCTAGGGTTGGTGTGTCTTGAGGAGGCAGGGATTAAATCAGTATTTTCAAGTTCCAGGCACAAAAACACTAAATAAAAGCAAATAATCTTACCAAAATATCTTTTATTGCAATTCTCATCACTTTTTCAGTCTCGTTTATTTCCAGAGGCCTGGCAATAGCTTCTGTTCTCAATTCCTACAGGAAACAATGAAATGGAATTACACACACTTTCAGAAAAGCACTTCTCAAAATCAATCCCCAGATCTGGGTATGGCTTATGGACTAGTTCTCAAAGTTCCATCACAGGGTGCATCTCTGATGCAGAAACACTTCTTCTAGCACCTCTTCCAAATGTCTTTTCTTTCTTTTTTCTCTTTAAGAACTCTCTACACTCCAACGTGCAGCCTGAGATCAAGAGTCATAAGCTCCACCAACTGAGCCAGCCAGGTGCTCCATGTCTTTCTGATCCTACCGCCAACCTGGCCTCCCTCCAGTGCTCTGGGCCTTCCCCAGCTAAAGGCCCCACATCCCCACAACACCAGGGGGGCAAAACTGGGCTTACCCTCATCATCTTTTCTCCCAAATGTGCTTCTTTACTTATATTTGTTCAGGTGAACCCCAAACCAAGTGCAGCTCAACCAACTGTCCGAACCCCCTGCCAGCCACTATCATCATTCCTATGATTCATTTTCTCTAAGTTGCCTGTCACTTCCAACTGCAACCGATGAGAGGAGTCACCTTGTCCCCACCCCTAGCATTAACCACTAACCAATCAAGGGAGGCATTTGTGCCTATCATACCAGTGCCAGGAACTTCTGAGACATGGGACTTCAATGCCAACGCAGTTACGAGGTTCCTGCAGCACTTTCCCCAGCTCAGTCTTGGGCTTCCTTTATTCCACGGTACCGCTCGGGGCCCACACTGGTGGAAAGCTACGGAGGGCACAGATCACGGTGCCTTGCCTGTCTGTCATTGGTGCCAGTCCTCAAAGAATGTTAGTTGAGTGTATGAAAAACCAACACTGGATGGGGGATCTTCCTCAGATCACAACTGTACAGAATTTGAGAAGTACCATATTCATGGCTCCTATGGCAACACTTCGGCCACTGGTTATTTCAATTCATTAGGGGATGGTGCTAAGAGTCCCCAGTGGAATCCTGGTTAAGTCTCACCATGAAGCCACAGCTCTGTGGCAGTTACCAAGTGACCAGCGCTTCACAGGTCTGTCTCTAGGTCTGTCAGAAATGTGTGGAGACACATGCACACAACCGCACTATAAAGAGAAAACACAGAAGGCCTGGGGAGCTGCCTTGTTAGTTATCTAAATTAGCTATGAGATAGGAGCGGCAGCTTTGTTCTGTCAGCTGGGCAGCTGCCAGCCACTAGGTTAACACGTCAGCAAAGCTGAGCTGGCATCCCAGTCCCCTGCTCCCCGTCTGCTCCTGGGGCAGGAATGAAAAGCCAGAAGAAAATACCATTATACTAGAGCAGTGATGCCAGAAGGCGGGCCAGGCCGAGAGGGCAGTCATGGTTGACAAACCTGACTGGAGTGAAATGAATTAAATGCATTTAATTTAAAAACACTAGAGGGTGCCCGGGTGGCTCAGTCGGTTAAGCATCTGCCTTCTGCTTGGGTCAGGATCTCAGGGTGGTGGAATCAAGTCCCAGATCCTGCTCCTTGCTTAGCAGGGAGGCTGCTTCTCCCTCTGCCTTCTGCTCCCCCTGCTTGTGCTCTCTCTCTCTCTCTCTCTTGCTCTCCAACAAATAAATAAATAAAATCTAAAATCAAATAAATGAAATAAATAAAAACACTAGAGGTAAGGGATGCCTGGGTGGCTCAGTAGGTTAAAGCCTCTGCCTTCGGCGCAGGTCATGATCCCAGGATCCTGGAATTGATTTCCACATCAGGCTCCTTGCTCGACAGGGAGCCCACTTTTCTCTCTGCCTCTGTCGGCCACTCAGCCCGCTTGTGCTCCCTCTCTGATAAATAAATAAATAAAATCTTTAAATCAAAACAAACAAACAAAAAAAACACTAGAGGTGAGCATGTATGCTTCAAATGCCATAAACACTTACAGGTAAGAATTAACCAAGACTCCACTTCTTAAACCAGTGGGTCCCAAACTCTGCTGCATGTTAGAATCCCATGGAGATCCTTAAATGCTGGATGCCTGGAGGGTGCCTCAGGGACACAGCTGGTTAAGCAACCAACTCTTGGTTTGGGCTCAGGTCAAGTTCTCAGAGTTGCAAAATATAGCCTCACACTGGGTTCGATACTCAGAGCAAAGTCTGCTTGAGGTTCTCTCTGCCTTTGCCTCTGCCCCTCCCACACACACATCTCTCTCTCTCTCGCTCTTTCTCTCTCTCTAAAATAAATAAATCTTAGGGGGAAAAAAAAGGCTGGATGCCTGGCTTTCACCCCCACACATTCTGATTCACTGCTTTGGGGGACAACCCAGACACCAGGTGATTTAAAGGGAGCCCTACAGGGGTTTTAGAAGTCATACTCTCATTAAACAGCTCGGTAAACACAGTAGATGAAGCACTCTTTTCAGCTCACATTGGCTAGAATAGCAGACAAATTTTTATGGTGACACCAACTTCAGCTGATGAGTAGTAACTGCCTAGGTCACGGGCTGCCCAGCTCTGCTGCACATGAGAATCACCCAAGACTTAAAACTCCCAATGCCCAGGTCCACTCCAAACCCGTGACATTGGCACGGAAGCTGGGTACCAGTAGTTTTTACAGGACTCCACAGCATCCCACGCAGAAGCAAAGTGTGGGAACCATGGGCTCAGAAGAGCACTTTGTAGACAGGAACCCGGAGCTCTCCAGGAAAAACACCAGACTTTGCTAGGTCTGCCACGGGCATGGAGGAAAGTTCCGGCAGCATGCTACATAACTGCCGCTCCTGAACGAGGAGGGAAAACTATTAACAACAGACCAGCGGGGGTGCCTGGGTGGCTCAGTTGGTTAAGCAACTGCCTTCAGCTCAGGTCACGATCCCAGGGTCCTGGGATCGAGCCCCACATTGGTCTCCCTGCTCAGTGGGGAGCTTGCTTCTCCTTCTCCCTCCGCTGCTCTGCCTGCTTGTGCTCCCTCACTCTCACACAAATAAATAAAAATCTTTAAAAAAAATGAAACAACAGACCAGCAGGCACCCGAAGTAGGAATAGCAGCTAATGCTATCACCTCCCTGCAGATCATCTCGTTTTAGCGGGTACAGTGTGAGGAAATGGGAAGGCCGGGGAAAAGCAGAATCCGAAAAAAAGCCTTGAAAGAGGCTGAGAAAGTATTTAAGTGTCTGAACATGGCTCACCCTCAATTCTACCTCCTTGCCCAGCAGGTCATACAGACACGCTCCTCTGGAGGTGATTTCAGAAGCAAGCTGCCGGGCCGCCTTCAAATCTGCAATCTGGAGGGAAAATATCAAACACAGAAACCTCGGTGAAACCTTGGGGCGCCTTGGTGGCTCAGTCGGTTCAGTGTCTGCCCTTGGCTCAGGTCCCACAGTCAGGGTCCCGGGACCGAGCCCCTCGTCGGGCTCAGACGGGGAGTGTGCTCCTCCCTCTCTCCCTCTGCCTGTCCACACTGCTCCTGAGCTCTCCGCTCAAATGAATAAAATCTTAAAAAATGAAAATTAAAAAAAAGAAAGAACCAGTTTGTTAGAATCAACTCCCGCCTCCCATCAGGACACCGGACTACTGAGCACGTTTTCCGCGAGACCCATATTTCCATCCTGTGGAGAAGCGCTCCCAGGACATCTGGATCTCTCTGAAAGTCCAAATCTCAAGTCAACTGTAATCTTTAACCAGGAACCAGAGAAGTGTGAAAGTGACGTGCTTCCTATTTGGACGAGGTCACAACAGAGGACAGTAGCAGGGCGACCAGAGGGGAAGCAGAGAGACACGTTTCCTACCGCAGAACGCTGCTGCCCCGGCTCTCCGCCTCTGGACGGCCTGGCGCACGGCTGCTGGGGCTCCTGGGAGTTAACCCGCACTAGCCCCACGGTGCGACCTGCCTCCCCCCGTAGTAGTACAGCTACTGCTGTAAAGACGACAGCCTCTAGCCCCGAGCATAAGCTTCTTTCTTAGGAGTCGCAGGTCACCCCACTTCCTTGCATATGGTAACTCTTCCAGAGAACCCAAACATTTCCTTGCTCTGCTCACTCTTCCTCTCTCCAACTCCCACACCAGCAGCAGCAAGTCTCCGTCTGCATTCACAGCTGCTGTCCTCCCCTTCCCTTAGTCCTGCAGGGTTCCACTCCCTCCAGCTCCAGCTCCCCCCACCCAGACCACCTCATAGCGGCAAACATCCACTTCCTTGGCAGGAGTCTCATCATCTCCCCTGCTTCCTGGCCCCGGGGGCCATCAGAGCTCAGTCCCCTGAACTCTTCTCTACTCACACCCTCCTGAGCTCGCGGCTGTAACACCTTCTACAACCGGACACCTCATACTGAACATACTGAACACCGCCCTTCCCACCAGGCCTGCTCCTCCCACACTCCCCTCCATTTCAGTAAAGGCAACTTCACCCCTACAGGTGCTCAGACCAAGAACTCCAGAGCTATGAAGGCTCAAACTGTGTGGACTTGCCACACATGGCCTTTTCCACGTTTCATTATTTAAATTTAAATACATTTGGAGCCCAGTTATTCGGTGACGCTAGCTACATGTGGCCAGTAGCTGCTACAGTACGGCATAGGTAGAGAACACATCCATCATCACAGAAAGATCTAGCACACAGGGTAGCTGTAGGATCTTCCTTGCATGGTCTGTTTTCTCTCAACCCACATTCAATCCCACAAGATCCACGCTCAGATGAGGTTCTAACCCCTGGCCATTTCTTTCCACTAACAAGTCCGGCTCCTGGTTACAAACCTCGGTGTGATTTCTTGGACCTGATCACAGGTGATCACAAAGGCTTTCCCCGACAGGCCTGACAGGGGCACCTGCGCTGGGGCTCACCCCAGCTGAGGCACAGCAGGGCACTACATGCTCTGAAGGAAGTGGCAGTCAAGGACGAGGGCCTTTGACCCCCATGATCCATAAAGTATGTGCGTTCCTATCCATGGGGCCTTCACTCCCAGGTCTCTTCATGGCAGGCTGAGGTGGCCTTCTTGTGGGGGAACTAGGGAGAAAACCTGGGGACACTCTTCCACTCCTAGTCTCCCCCCACTCAGGGTCATAGAAGTGCAATGGCCACGGTGGCCAAACTGTGGAAAGAACCAAGATGCCCTTCAACGGACAGACGGATAAGGAAGATGTGGTCCATATACACAATGGGATATTATGGCTCCATCAGAAAGGATGATTACCCAACTTTTGTAGCAACACGGACGGGACTGGAAGAGATTATGCTGAGTGAAGTATAGCACAGAGCACTTGAAGTCAAGCACAGAGTCAATTATCATATGGTTTCACTTACTTGTGGAGCATAAGAAACAACATGGAGGACATGGGGAGATGGAGAGGAGAAGGGAGTTGGGGGAAATTGGAGGGGGAGATGAACCATGAGAGACTATGGACTCTGAAAAACAAACTGAGGGTCTTGAAGGGGCGGGGAGTGGGAGGTCGGGTGAGCCTAGTGGTGGATATTATGGAGGGCACGTATTGCATGGAACAATGGGTGTGGTGCATAAACAATGAATTCTGGTACACTGAAAAGAAATTAAAAAAATTAAAAATTAAAAAAAAAAAAAGTGCCGGAGCCTTTTGTTCAGGGCTCCCTCAGGAGACAACCCCTTCAAGGGTGTGCCATCTCCTGGGAGACAAAGGAACAATGTGGTGGGAGGGAGGGGTGACGCTTCCTCTGCTTTTAGCCCCTTGATCAAACCACCACAGTAAGTGACTGAATACTTAACTTTCATTTCGGCTTGCTGTGTCCATCGAATCCTCCGATGCCTGGCAGCTCAGCTGTCTCCCATCTTAGATGAGCTCCTGCTATCAGCAACCACTCTGTTCAAAGTCAGACATGTCTGCCATGTCTGCCTGTACCCTCGTGCCCCCCTCAGTCTGATCTCAACCAGGAGCCGGAGGGATCCTTTTAATACGAAGCTTCAAATCATGTACTTCTCCGCTCAAAACACCATGATTTTCCACCTCAAAGTCAACCTCTTTATAGTGGCTGTGGAGGCACCACAGGGTGGGGTCTGTCAAAGGACCCCTCCGAGGGGCGCCTCGGTGGCTCAGTGGGTTAAAGCCTCTGCCTTCAGCTCAGGTCGTGATCTTGGGGTCCTGGGATCACGCCCCGCATCGGGCTCTCTGCTTGGCGGGGAGCCTGCTTCCCCACCCCCCGCCCGCCTCTCTGCCTACTTGTGATCTCTGTCAAATAAATAAATAAAATCTTTAAAAAAAAAAAAAAAAAGGGACCCCTCCAAACTCTCATGCTCTCCTCTATCGACTCATTTCCTCAAATACCCAAAGCACACTTTTGTCAGAGGATACCTTTCCCCCTCCGCTGCACGGCTTGCTCCTTCCCTGCTTCACATCTCTGCTGAGGATGTCACCCACCCCACCTCCCTGTTGCAGACACGGTCCAGCCCTGCTTTACCATCCCCCACACACCATCACCCCTGACCTGCCAATCCTTCTGCTTTGTGGTGTAGTCTGACTCCCCACTGAGCCTAACACAGAGGATTGCTGTCTTGCTGTTCACGCCGGTATCCTGAGCATCTGAACTGTGCCTGGCATATAGTGGGTTTTCGATAGGTAGCGGATTAATTTGTTGTGACTGCTGTTTGTATCTAAATGGTGATGAGCACAGAACTGACAAACTGCTCTTAGTCAAGGGGTAAGGAAAAAAGCGATGACATGAGTGTCTGACATGTTCTTTTTCAGAGTTTAAGAAATACACACACTGTCCCACACTGGGAGCCTTTCATTGTCCTTACCTTTGAGCCAAGATCAAACTTGAATTTGCTGATGTCCTCCTCCCCTATCTTAGAGCCCTCCATCCCTTTGGTCTTCATGGCGTTATAAAGGACAGAGGTGATCTTCAAAAGCTCTTTCACTGCATACCCATCTGCCTGATAAAGCTTCTTGGTATTGAGTTTTATATGTGCCTTGGTGGCCTATTTTCAGACAAAAAAAAAAAAAAAAAAAAAAACAAAACAAAACAAGTAAGGCCCTTTCCACGTAAATAAAATCTAACTCAAATCCCATGTAGGTAATTTGAAAATCTCTCTTTAACAATAACCTGACTGTATTGAATCAAATTTCCAAGTGACTCAAGCATTGCAAGTGGGTGTATGAACTGATACAATCTTAATAGAGAGCTATTTAGTAACTGACAATAAAATTACAAATCCACCCATCTTTCCAATCCTAAGAACGTATCCTGGGGCCACTGTCACAAAGTCCTATGTGTAGGCTATTTGCTATGGCACAGTTTCATAGAGCAAAAGTTATAAACTATCTAAACACCTGGGGCCGCTGGGTGGCTCAGTCGTTAAGCGTCTGCCTTTGCCTCAGGTCAGGATCTCAGGGTCCTGGGACCGAGCCCCGCATCGGACTCCCTGCTCAGTAGGAAGTCTGCTTCTCCTTCTCCCACAACCCTGCTTGTGTTCCCTCTCTTGCTGTGTCTCTGTCAAATAAATAAACAAAATCTTAAAAAAAAAAAAATCTAAACACCTATCTATATATAAATTACATAAACCATGGTATACTCATGAAAATGATACTACTCAGGTACAAGATAGAATGAGGAAACTGGATATGTATTCGGAAAGTTCTCCAAAACACACAACTAAGTGAAGAAAGCAGGATTCTAAGCAGTGGTGTACTGTACGCCACCATTTGTGTAAAAGGCTGGGGAAAGAACGTATACTGTGTTTGCTTCTCTGTATGTAAAGAAACTCGGAGGATGGAGCTGGGGATGAACTGGGTCAGTGGCAGGCAGGAGAAAAAGTCCTTTTAGTCTATACTGCTTCATAATTAAGAAGAAATTTTGAGCAGCACCTGGGTGGCTCAGTCATTAAGTGTCACCTTTGGCTCAAGTCAAGATCTCAGGGTCCTGGGATCAAGCCCTATATCAGGCTCCCTGCTCAGCGGGAAACCTGCTTCTCTGTCTTCCACTCCCCCTGCTTGTGTTCTCTCTCTTGCAGTCTCTCTCTCTGTGTTAAATAAAATCTTAAAAAAAAAAAAAAAAAGATAAAGAAAAAATTTTGAACCTATACTAAACTAACTGAATAGAATTCTTAACAAATAATGAATTAAAGGGGCGCATGGGTGGCTCAGTGGGTTAAGCCTCTGCCTTCGGCTCAGGTCATGATCCCAGGGTCCTGGGATCGAGTCCTGCATTAGGCGCTCTGCTTAGCGGGGAGCCTGCTTCCCCCTCTCTCTCTCGCTCTCTGCCTGCCTCTCTCCTTGTGATCTCTCTCTGCCAAATAAATAAATAAATTCTTTAGAAACAAAATAATAATGAATTAAAAACAAAAACCCAAAAACCTGCGCTGGGGAAATGCCTCCACAGGAACTTGGTGACCGGATGGGCTTAGAAACATGAAAGCAGCCCCTGCTGGGACTCATCTGTACCATACTTAATATTCCAAGTCCAGAAAATAACTGTCAACTAACCAGAAACTGGGCAATTGCTTTAATGAAGAAAACTCGGTCTTGTTCAGTCTCAACATCAGAAGGGATATCGGTCTGAGGTTCATACCTTTCAGAGAGAGAGAGAAGACAAGTTAATTAAGTACAAAGTCCACGAAAGAGAAAGTAGGTAGCTGAGAGGATCCGTAACAGCAAGCTCTCTACTACCCGGCTCAGGTAGTAAGAGTGAGAGAGACTTCAAAAGCAGCATAAAATCCCAAACACCTCAGGGAGTGAATCCTCACCTAAGAACAGACTTAAGTGATTACAAAAATCCAATTAGGGGCTCAGCTTACAAAATTAAATCTATCTCAGACCTCAAAGTTTAACTAAAATAATGAGAACTATTACTCTGGCTGAGCAGCCCTTGACCCAGAGCCAACCAGCTCGCTGAGAAGCAGCGGTTAGGGGAGTTCTGGAGTTACTGACGACCCACCAGGGGTCAGTGCGGTGCAGTCCTTGGTTTCCTCAAGCGCAGTCTGCAGGCTAAGAAGGGTTTTTACATTTCTAAAGGATTATCACAAACAAAACACATGGGAGATTATACAACAAAGATCTTATGTAGCCTCCAACACCGAAAATATGTATGACCTCCTTAAAGAGGATCGCCAACCCAGAATCATATTAGATTTTTCACACAAATGAAATCTGAATCTGAATGATTTCTACTTCATTACACTTCATTATATACTTCATTATAGTCATTACAGAGTGCGCAAAGATCCTGCTCACTCCCTGACGACAGTGAGAGCATGAAGGGGAGCCTGGACCACTGCTCGCGTCAGCGTCTGAGAAATCTCCTTTTACCACTGCCTCCCTTCTCCACAGCGCTCCTCATGCTCAACAGATTTTTATTTTTTTTTATTTTATTTTTATTTTTTAAAGATTTTATTTATTTATTTGACAGAGAGATCACAAGCAGGCAGAGAGGCAGGCAGAGAGAGAGGAGGAAGCAGGCTCCCTGCTGAGCAGAGAGCCCGATGCGGGGCTCGATCCCAGGACTCTGAGATCATGACCTGAGCGGAAGGCAGTGGCTTAACCCACTGAGCCACCCAGGCGCCCCTCAACAGATTTTTAATAGGTTATAGGTGAGTCTTTCAAACTCAGAATTTATTGAATTCTTCCTTTTGCTTCACCACAGTATCCATTTTCAATAGGTGGCTATTGAATAAAATACAGCATTCATTCTTAGAGTGTATTAAAGTACATTTCTGACCGTTTCACAAGCCAAAGCAGCACTTCAGACACAAGTCCAAAATTTGGTGTGCGGAAGTTCTCCATCGAGATGTGGCGAGGGTATCCCAAGGCTCTCATCATCTCCGTAAAATCTGTCCAAAGGTAAAATACAGCTCAGTCAGTGCCCCATCAAAGAGCAACTACTTACTCACTGAGATACTTTCCTTGTTTTCCCTCTTTACTCCCAACATACTGACAGTTACAGGACAATTTATCAAGTCTCTACGAGGGAAAGCAAAAAGGAGATGAAACTTAAAATACATAATCTGCTTCCTGAAAAACACTTAACTTCAATGGGAGGAAAAAGTGGAAGCTGTATATTATAATGGTGTTTAGGGGGGCACCTGAATGGCTGGATCAGTTAAGCGTCTGCCTTTGGCTCTGGTCATGATCCCAGGGTCAAGGGATCGAGCCCTTCATTGGGCTCCTTGCTCAGCTGGGAGCCTGCTTCTCCATCTCCCGCTGCCTGCTATTCTCCTTGCGTGATCTCTCTCTCCCTCTCTGTCAAATAAATAAATAAAATCTTAAAAAAAAAAAAAGAGTCTGATATAATAGGGTTTAAGGATTGGCTGTGAAGAGAATTTCTCCCTTCGATATGTCATTTCCCTCTTGGATATCCTTCTCTTTACCTCTCAAAATGAGAAATACCTGGTTTATAAAATGTCATCAAGAAAAAATATGCTGGGGCGCCTGGGTGGCTCAGTCCGTTGAGCATCAGACTCTTGATTTTGGCTCAGGTCGTGATCTCAGGGTCAAGAGATCAAGCCCTGCACGGCTCCACACTCAGCAGGGAGTGTGCTTCTCTCCCATTCTCCCCCCACACCCCCAACCTGCGCTCCTGTACAAGCACCTGTATCTCTCTCAAATAAAAAAATATATCTTTTTTAAAAAATGTTAAATGTTCACAGCGGTTATTTAGGGGTGATGGCGGTGGGGCAAAGTTCACCTCTCTGAATTATTCTGGAGTTGGCTTTTTAATCTTATTTATTTATTTATTTATTTTTAATATTTTATTTATTTGAGACAGAGAGGGTGAGCATATAAGCAGGGGGAGAGGCAGAGGGAGAAGCAGACTCCCCAGTGATCAGGGAGCCCGTTGTGGGGCCCAATCCCAAGACCCTGGGATCATGACCTGAGCCAAAGGCAGAGCTTCACCAACTGAGCCACCCAGGCGTCCCAACTGCATTGTATTTAAAGAGATCTTGAAGAGACTGTTTGAACTATACAGAAATATTTAAATTCCTTTTATAAACCAGAACAAGAAACAATACTACTAATACTTGTTGAAACCGGAGATTGTGGTGGTCACTTCGCTTTAAAGCAAAATGAACAAATGAACACAACAAACATTTTTATGTTTCCAAAACATGCCAGGATCTGTTTTCGGTGCGCTTCTGGCTCTACAGAATGCCTGTTCCTGCTCTTCCTCGAGGTTCAAATGATCTCAACAACATTCGCAAAAAAGCTACCTGAGCACCGGAGGTTAGGCTGGATCTCACCAGGCAAGAGAAGATACGAGCAAAGTAAGAAGGGCACAGAGGGCCTCGTCACTGTTTTCTGGGAAATGTGAAGAGAGTGATGGTCTATAAAGCAGCTTTCTTCCCACCACACGCCACACACTGCCTAAATACTTCTTCCTATTAAGCCATAGTAGGGTCCTATTAATTCTGCAAAATGGGGACAATTTGACCATGACTTTTACTGTAAGTTGCACAAATGTATGGCATTCATTTAAGGTCAAAAAGTTCAGAAATCCCTTTCTTAACACCCTCTTCCAGGCACAACTACACTTAATGTCCCCTAGCAGAACCCTGGCCTCAGCTTGCGAAGGAGGAGAAACTTATCTCTACAACACACGTCACCAAGAACCTTCAAACCCCAGAGGGCATAATTCACACCATGGTGCTACTAGGTGTGCGGATAAAATGTGATGCCTCTTCCCCTATATTTACATGGTAGAAAAGGAGCAATTCCTAACTGAAATGACTAATCGTTAATGGTGCAATGTCCAGCAATTCGTTAGAAAACGGGCGGTAAAGACACGCCAGGATGACCGCAACTTGGCAATCAGGTGCTACCCCTAAGCAGGTGGACGCAGTTGGCCCAAATGCTTCAGGTTCAGAAAATGCCGGCTCATGGAAAGCAAAGGATTTTGATTCACACAGTCCCACGGCTCCAACAGTACTTTCCACCCAGTGCTAGCTGCGTGACTTAAAGCAAGCTGCTTGACCTCTCTGTGTCTCCAAGTCTTTCATGCAGGGATCACACTACCCACCTCACTGTGCAAGTGAGGACGAAAACCAGGTATTTAGTGTAAAACACCTGGTGTGTAACAGATGCCCCCAAAGTAGCAGGTACCAATTCGGGTTATCTCCATCCCACGTCCCCACTCTCCCAGCACAGCCCCTTTAGGAACGACGCAGGCTCTGGAAGTGAGATAAACCGAATTCAAACTCCGGCGCCAGATCCCACCGCCTGGGTCCTAGGGCCCAGTTCCCTGCCCTCCCGGGCCAACACCGTAGCAAGCAGCCGCCTGTGGCCATGCAAGCCATCTAAAATTAGACAAAATTAACACTTCGGCTCCACAGCCGCCTAACCACACGCGGCCAGGGGCGCACACAGCACCTCCCGCCAGGTCGGAGCGCTGACAAGGGGCGGGGGCGCTCGGCCTCGGGGGCGGCAGCGGCCAGGGACTCCCCGGGGCCGCACAGGCCCAAACGTGGGGTACTCGGGCGCGGACCAGCAGGGGACAGCGGGCAGGGCGGCCTTACTGCGGAGCTCGCGGAAAGACATGGTGCTCTTACTCCCCCGCAGCCTGGCGTCTGGGCCGCGAGCCCCTCAGTGCTCACAGGTCTCTATGGCAACGCACAGAGGCTCGACGGCGCGTGGCTCGGGCCAAATAGGACGGGAGGCGAAGCGGCCAGGTCGCGCGCGTGCGCGTGCGCGAGCGCATGCGCAGGGGCGAGCAGCTGAGGGGTGTTGGGGGACGCCAAAGAAGCCTGACCCGGGCGAGCGGCTGCGCGCCTCGCGGCATCTGGGTCCTCTTCGCACAGTGTGCAAACTTACTGGCAGTGGCGGACACATTCTGAGCACCTACTATGCGCCTAACGCTGTGCTAGGCGCTCTACGTACTGCTGCTTATTTCTTCCTTAACTCCCTAGAATGTACGATAATGTCACGAAGCCGGGTCTCCCTCTTGGGTCCTGTGCCCAGCATCTTTCTCCCCGGCCTGAGTAAATTCGCTGGCTTCGCCGGCAACCGAGGCCCTCGAGAAACGGCAAAGGGATGAAAAAGTGAGGCCGGGGACGTGAGAAGCGAATACCCAAGCTGCCCGCGGGGCGGGGATAGGCGGCCAGGCGGCCACCGCGCACGCGCAGCTCGCTCTGGCTTCACGACAGGCCAGAAATCAGCCCGAGTCCTCGTTTGCCGGCGATTGTCCTGGCAACGGAGGCTCTTGGGGGCGGGGACGTAACGAAACCCGGGGAGAGCTGCGCGCGGAAAGTGGGCTGCTCAGCTGGGGGCTCCCCAGGGACTCCTCCCTGTCCCGCAGCCACCGTGGGAGGGTGGCGACCGAGAAGGGCTCGGGGGAATGAAGTTTGGCGACCCGGAAGGGCAGGCCAAGAGGAGGGACTGCCCCCCACTGGGCGCCCTCCGCCATCCGTTGGCGAAGGTATACACACACAAACGCTTGGACCTAGAGCCACGCGCCCCTGGTCAGTGTGACAAGGGTTGTAGCGCTCTTCCTTGGAGAAAGAATGGTCTTTCATCAAATGGTTTTGGGACAGTTGGAAATCCATATGCAAATAAATGCACCTCCGCCCTTCCCTAAATGTAAAACGTAAAAAACTGTAGAAGTTTTCTTGAAGAAAGCTTAGGAGAAATGTTCTGCGATTATGTTAAGGAAGATTTCCTAAATACACCAGAGATAGGATCCTTAGAAAAAAATAAGTTTGGGGGGCCCCAGAGTGGGTCAGTTGGTTAAACGTCCGCCTTGCACTCAGGTCATGATCCCAGAGTCCTGGAACGGAGCCTCATGTCGGGCTCCCTACTCAGCTGGGAGTCACCTACTCCCTCTCCTCCCTGCTCTTGTTCTCTCGCGCTCTCTCTCTCAGATAAAGAAAATATTTTTTTTCTTTTTTTTTTAAATAAGGACATCAGCTTATCCTTTTTTTTTTTTTTTTAATTTTTTAAGGTTTTATTTATGTAATTGACAGAGACAGCTAGAAAAGGAACACAAGCCAGGGGAGTGGGAGAGGGAGAAGCAGGCTTCCCGCCAACCAGGCAGCCCCATGCGGGGCTCAACCCAGAACGCTGGGATCATGACCTGTTCAGAAGGCAGAAGCTTAACGATTGAGCCACCCAGGTGCCCCAATAAAATCTTTTTAAAAAAGATTTATTTGAGAGAGACAGAGACAGTGGCGTGGTGGTGGTCAAAAGGAGAAGCAGACTCCCTGCTGACCAGGGAGCCCGATGCCGACACTGGATGACACTGGATTGCAGGACTTAAGGATCATGACGTCTGCTGATGGCAGTCGCTCAACCGAGCCCCTCAAATAAATAAAATCTTAATAAAAAATAATTTTTTTAAAATTTAACATAGACACAGAGGGAACACAACCAGGGGGAGTGGGAGAGGGAGAACGGAAGTACAAGCAACTAAAAAAATAACATAAAGTGGACCTCATCAAAACTGAAAATGTGGGGCACCTGGGTCACTCAGTGTTAGAGCCTCTGCCTTCGGCTCAGGTCATGACCTCAGGGTCCTGGGATCGAGCCCCACATCGGGCTCTTTGCTCGGCTTCCTCCTCTCTCTCTACCTGCCTCTCTGCCTACTTGTCTACCTACTCTATCAAGTAAATAAACAAAATCTTGGGAAAAAAAACTGGAAAATGTGTGTGCCAGGAAAGACACTATCAAGAAGTGAAAAGACAGCCTACAGAATGGGAGAAAATATTTGTAAATTATGTATCTCATAAGTGTCCAGAATATATAAAGGACACCTATAAACTCAATAAAAAGGCAACCCAGTTTAAAAATGAATGAAAAACTTACATTTCACTAAAAAAGATATACAAATGGTTAACAAGCACATGAAAAGATGTTCAACATCCTTAGTCATTAGGGAAATACAAATTTAGACCACAGTGAGATACTATTTCACTCCCACAAGGATAGCTATTAAAATTTTTTTTAAGGGGCGCCTAGGTGGCTCAGTGGGTTAAGCCTCTGCCTTTGGCTCAGGTCATGGTCCCAGGGTCCTGGAATCAAGCCCCATGTCTGGCTCTCTGCTCAGCAGGGAGCCTGCTTCCCTTCCTCTCTCTCTGCCTGCCTCTCTGCCTACTTGTGATCTCTGTCAAATAAATAAAATCTTAAAAAAAAAATTTTTTTTTTAAGGGCGCTTGGGTGGCTCAGTTGGTTAGGCAACTGCCTTCAGCTCAGGTCATGATTCTGGAGTCCCAGGATCAAGTCCCACATCGGGCTCCCTGATGAGCAGGGAGTCTGCTTCTCCCGGTAACCTCTCTCCTCTCATGCTCTCATTCTCTCTCTCTCTCTCTCAAATAAATAAGTAAAATCCTTAAAAAAAATTTTTAGGGGTGCCTGGGTGGCTCATTGGGTTAAAGCCTCTGCCTTCGGCTCAGGTCATGATCCCAGGGTCCTGGGATCGAGCCCCACATCGGGCTCTCTGCTCAGCGGGGAGCCTGCTTCTCCCTCTCTCTCTCTGCCTGCCTCTCTGCCTACTTGTGATCTCTCTCTGTGTCAAATAAATAAAATCTTTAAAAAAATTTTTTTAAAGGAAAATGACAAGTATTAATAAAAGCATGGAGAAATTGGAACTCTTGAGCATTACTGGTGGGGATGTAAAATGGTGCAGCCACTATGGAAAACAGTTTGGCAGCTCCTCAAGTAGTTAAACACTGAATTACCATATGACACAATAATTTCACTCCCACCTAGACACTGCTAAAAATTAATAACAGGTTTTGGTTTTTTCTAAGATTTTATTTATTTATTTGAGAGAGAGCATAAGCAGGGGCAGAGGAAGAGGGGCAAGCAGACTCCCCGCTGAGCAGGGAGGACAACATGGGGCTCCATCCCAAGACCCTGGGATCATGACCTGAGCTGAAGGCAGATGCCCAACTGATTTAGCCACCCAGGCACCCCAGTATGATTTCATTTATATAAAACTCTAGAAATATGCAAATCTACAGTGACAGAAACCAGAGCAATGTTCCCCTGAGTAGGAGTGGGGCACATAAAAACAGGGTGACAGATTTGTTCTATTTTGATTGTAGTTTCTTGAATGTGTATAGTTATTAAAATGTATTAAATTGCATGCTTTAAATATGTGCATTTTATCATATGTCAATAAGGCTGTTAAAAAATTAAGATCCTAGGGGCACCTGGGTGGCTCAGTGGGTTAAAGCCTCTGCCTTTGGCTCAGGTCATGATCCCAGGGTTCTGGGATTGAGCCCTGCGCCAGGCTCTCTGCTAGGTGGGGAGTCTGCTTCCCCCCGCCCCCCCGCCGCCTGCCTCTCTGCCTACTTGTGATCGCTCTCAAATAAACAAACAAACAAACAAACAAACAAAATTAAGAAATTAAGATCCAGGGCGCCCAGCTGGCTCAGTCGGAGAGCATGTGGCTCTTGATCTCAGGGTCGTGAGTTCCAGCACCACACTGCGTGCAGAGATTACTTAATTAACTTAAAAAAAAAATGGAAAACCAAGAGAAGTGGCTCTGGCTGCCGTCTCAGTGCTTCATTTGTGCTCTACTGATTATAGTGGGTGGTGAGTATAGTGTCATGTAGTTAGCATCACGATCAAACTATAGAACAACTCCATCCCCCCAAAAATTCCTTTTCACCTAACTCCTCCTGGCAATCACTGATTTGTTTTTTGCCTTTCTCTTTGCATCTTATCCAGAATTTTCAGTTTTGATGAAGTCCAATTTATCTATTTTTTCTTTTGTTGCTTGTACTTCTGTTACCGTATGTAAGAAACCACTGCCAAATCCAGGGTCATGAAGATTTACCCCAGGTTTTCTTTATATAGTTTTATCTCCTGCATTTAGGTCTTTGTTGGATTTTGAGTTAATGTTGTATATGGCGTGAGGTAGGGGTCCAACTTCATTCTTTTGGTTGTGGCTGTCTGGTTGTCCCAGCACCACCTGTTGAAGGGACTATTTTTACCCCACTAAATGGTCTTGGTCCCCTTGTTGAAAATCAATTGACCACAGATGCATGACTTCGTTTCTGGACTCTTCTTATTACACTGGTTGAGATGTCGAGCCTTATACTCATTCCACACTGTTTTGGTTATTGTAGCATTAGAGTAAATTTTGCAATCAGGGAAAAGGAGTCTTCCAACTCTCTTTTTTGAGATTGTTTTTGGGTATTTGGCTTGCAATTCCACATGAATTTTAAGATCAGCTTTCCTGTTTCTGTCTAAAAGACTATTGAGGGGCGCCTGGGTGGCTCAGTGGGTTAAGCCGCTGCCTTCGGCTCAGGTCATGATCCCAGGGTCCTGGGATCGAACCCCACATCGGGCTCTCTGCACAGCGGGGAGACTGCTTCCCTTCCTCTCTCTGCCTGCCTCTCTGCCTACTTGTGATCTCTGCCTGTCAAATAAATAAATAAAATCTTTAAAAAAAATAAAAAAAAATAAAAGACTATTGAGATTCTGATACGGATTGCACTGAATTTGTAGATCATTTTGGGGAGTGTTGCTGTCTTAACAATGTTAAACCTTCAATCCATGAACAAGGATTTTGGGGGGTATTTTATTTCAGTCTTTTTTTCTAGCTGTTTTGTAGTTTTCAGTGTTATCTTGTACCTCCTTAAATTTATTTCTGTTTTATTCTTTTTGTTCCTTGCTAGTACATAAAAATACAATTAATTTTTTGTGTGGATCTTATATCCTGTAACCAATGAGCTGAACCTTTTTCTCTCTACTGGTTTTTATCAGCTCAAAGAAGCTTTGTTTTTACATGTGAGTTAATGTTTTCCCTACATGAGAGCACGTCATCTGTGAATGAGGAGAGGTGAAAGTTTAACTTTTGAAGAAACTGTCTCCCAAAGCAGTGTTACCACTTTACGTTCCCCTCAGCAGTACACGAGAGCTCCGGTTCTTCCACATCCTAATACTTGGTATGACCCACATGATACCCCATCACCTATTTATAGGGCAATGGACAGTGTAATTTCAGAAGTAAGTGACTTGCTCAGCTACCCTGAACCACCTCCTCAGCACGATCAAAGCACTGGCTCAGATCTCACCAAGCCTGTGTCCCTAAAGCCTCATTTCCCACCCATGGAGGAGCAAACTGAGACCCCAAGAGGTCACCCTGGGAGTGACTTTCCAGCCTGCAAGAGCTGAGTCTATTTTGTGTAGCTTGTCCCAAGTCAGAGGATCAGGGACCTCCCCTAGGGTTCCACCCCCTTCGCTTGCCCTCCACCCACCCTGCTCCAGCCCTGGGCAGCATCCCCTCCCAAACTTGGGAGTCCAGGAAGGCTGGGAGTCTTCCGTTTGACATCACAGAGCTGGTTGCCATGGGAGACCTGCAGACCCAGGTGGGGGAGAGCAGAGCCCTGCTGCACAGGAGGCCCAGCCGCTCCTCCCCCACCACGCTGGCCCTCCATGGAAGCCTTGGTCTGTGCTTTCTCTGAGCTGCGCATAAGAGAAGGTGCCGGGCTGCAGGGAGGAGTGGCAGGAGGAGAGATGCATTCCTATCCTGACCTGGGCCCAAAGCCACCAGAGTGGCCTCAGAGACATGCATGCTTGGGAGAGGGGAATGGCCACACTGGTCTAGGCTGTGTGACCCTGGACTGTGTGATCCCGAAGCCACTGTGCAATTTCTATACTGACACCGGAATGCTCTTTCTAGGGTAGGGGGAAGAAAGGGGTGGTAGAAAGGGCTGGAAATACTGAAAGAGCTCTTTCTGTCACGATCTCAGGCTTCTCAGACCTTCCTGTTGGTTGGGAAAGGGAAGAGGAGTAGTATGTGTGTGTTGGGGTGGGGTGTTGGTGGGAGGCAGGGGACTGAGCCCATTTGACAGAAAGGTAGAGTGAGGCTCAGCAAGTCACAGGTAGTGCCCATCACACCAGCTGGTCTTAGAGCATGTGACTGTGTTCTCCCTTCTTGGCTGTTGCAGCCTGCCAGCCACCACCCTCCTGCTCTCCCCTCTGCAGATGCAGTGAGCTGGGCCCGAGGACATCCCAGCCACCCCGACACACCACCCAACATCTACGAGGGGGGGCTGGGGGCCCAGCAGCAGCAGTGCCCCAGTGCCCAGGGAAGCAAGCCCAAGAACTTCCGGCTGCGCCACCTCCGGGGACTGGCTCTCTACCTGCCGGGCCACATGCAGGCTGCTGGCCAGTGTGAGAGCCACTGGCTAGGCCGGCTCATGGCCAGGGGCTGCCTCCCACGGCCTGAGGGCATGGCCTGGCCCCTAGACCTGCCACAGGGGACTCTGGGCTCTGTTAACAGCCATTGCTCAGCCCTTCTGGAAGCTCCAGTGCCCAGGGACAACCTGGGAAATACAGGTAAGCACCTGTCCGGGTGAGGCAGGGCTGGAGACAGGAGGGAATGACTCAGGGAAGGGTTGGCTGAGGACTCAGGTGGACCGAGATGGGCCCTTCTTCATTCCCAAGGTTCCGGGGTTCCTGTCCCAGCTCTGCACTCAATGAGAGACCTTGGACAGCTCCCCACCATCACCCCTGCTGTCCCCAGCTTCAGTGTGCCCATTTATAAAATGAGGGGGTGTTTAGACAAGGGTCCTTTCAGCTTGAACCATCTGTTTCCTCCTTCTTCCTCCCTCCCTCGTGCGCTCTTTCAGGAGAATTCCCCCTCCCTTCCTATTTTGAAGAATGCCAGGTTCTGGGAGTTGGGGAGGGATTCGTAGGATACCTGGCAGCCTCCACTTGGGTCCCTCTGAGTGATTTGTCTCTCCCTACTTTCCTCAGCTTCCAGTTCCAGCATGGACCCAGCCAAGGGTGTCCCCTCCCAGCCGGGTCCCTCCGAAGGCTTGGGGCTCAGGCCCAAGAGGTCCTGGGGGAACTCAGAGGAGTCCACATGTCCCTTATGCAAGCGAACCCGCTCTGGGGCTCTGGAGAGACCATAGGGATCTGAGTGCCAAGCCTGGCTGTCCCAGCTGTGGACAGGAGGAAAAAGGATGGCTCAGGAGGAGGCAGGAAGGGCTTAGTCCCTACCGGCAGTCGTCCCACACTGAGACACCCCAGCAGCTGCCCAGCACCAGAGCTTGGGCCAGCCTCAGGAAGAAGACTCAAGGGGGGGAGGGAGGAGGAAGTCCTGCAGGAGGAACAGAAAAAATAGAAACCCTCGCAGCCTGCTCCAGCTCAGGTGGGCCACTTGTCCCTGTGAGGCCAGACTGAACAGAGATTTAGGCCCCAAGAGGCCAGGGAGCCCGCAGGTCTAATTTCAATAAAAGCCAAGGCCTGCACCTTCTTGTCCCTGGGTCTGTCTGTGGCGAGGTCAATGCAGAGAAAGGGCCTCTTGGAGCACCTGCCATCTGTGTTGAGAGTGAACTTCCGGGTTGATGCCAGGGAAGATCCACGGTGCTGCTGGTGTTGGCTGCGAGGTGAACGTCCTCCTCTGGCAGGGGAAACTCCTCGAAGTCTTCCTGGATGCACATCTCAACAGACCTAAATGCAAGCCACGCCATCTAGCTGAGACCGCGGAGGACAAATGAAGCAGGCCGGGTGTAGGGAGGGTGCCGGGGAAGAGAGAAACCTCTCCACCCAGGCGGAAATGTTGGCCTGAACCCCATGCCACCACTCACAGTCCTTGGTTAGTTCACTGCCCCTTGGGGGACTCCTAGCTGCCCTGTCCCTCCACTCAGGATGGGTACGGTCCTTCTCCCAGGCAGGCTGGTCTCCAGGCACGTAGTTTGGACTCCTCTGTACCAAGGTGTCTCAACCTCGACTCTGCTGACATTTCGGTCTGGATCTTTCTGCTGGGGCTGCCATCCTGTGCGTTGTAGGATGTCCCCCAGTGTGATAATCAAGTGTCTCCAGACAGTGTCAATGTCCCCTGTGCAGGTGTGTGTGTGTGTGTGTCAGAATCACTCTGGTTGAAATCCCCTGTTCTGTATCACTAGACCTCAGCCCAGGGAGACAGGATGGGACGTCCTGGGTTTGTCTCAATGCCCCACACTGTGTGGCTGACTTCCAGTCCCAGCAGCCCAGGTCAGCCTGTGGCTGAGCCGCCCCACCAGGGGCTCCAGGCAAATCAGGTGATGATGTCAAGGACACTCTGGACACCTGGACAGCTGGGTTCCTTTCAGATGGAGAGGAATAATCCATAAGGTCCCCTCCCAGCCCTTGTACCCTAGTCTCATTTTGGAGGTCCCTGGGATAGCAGATTCTGGAGACTTTGGTCCCTGGGGGGTTTTCAGGTTGTTACAGTGTGGCTGTGGCCCTGCGTGGTGGGAGCCTGAGTTGCAGCAGCCAGAGAACAGCCCTAGAAGGAGGACTGATGAGAGATGTTGAATGCTCCAGCTGGGACCGGGACAGGGACATAGCCACTCACCAGGTCCACCAGATGAGCCACTTGGGGGGGATGACAAAAAGGGTGTCTCCTCCCTCTGCCCACAACACCTATTGCCTCAGAAGACCAAGGCCAGGTAGGATGAAGACAGAAGCTAGGGAGGCTGTCCCAGGCACTGGGCAGAAATGAGATCTTGCCAGAAGCCACAGTATGTGGTCTCTGTAGACAGTCAGAGGTGCAATCCCCACTTTTGGAGGAAGCTGTGAGGCTCAGAGGGGAGCAGAGGCCACTCCACAGTCCAGATCCTGGGACACCCAGGCTGTGATCAGTGGCCACTGTGGTAGCCTCTAATGCATGTGTCCCAATATCTGGCTCATGGAGTCCCCCTCCCCCCACCTTGAATTGGGACTGGCTCAAGGTCTTGTTTGACCAGCAGAATGTGGCCCACCAGGGGCTCCAGGCAGATCTGGCCTGAAGGACGCCTGGCAGCTTCCAGTGTGTGCACTGGGGGAGGCCGGTCTCACATGATGGGAAACCAGGTCAGTCCGGGGGAGGCCATGTGGAGGAAGCCACAGCCACAGCCACAGCCAAGCTCTGGGCCCTCCTGGAGCGATTCATGGGCCCCAGCCCTTCCGGGGAGAGACTGCTGCAGCAGACAAGCTGGATCCAAAGAGAACTCGCTGGGCTGACCTCTACACAGCTCCTCCCTCGACCACCCGAGACTTTCTTGAAAAACACTCTGTGAGAGGCTGAGAGCGAAGCCACAGTCCCAGTGTCCTGGGGCCCAGGAACTGACGTGAAGGAACATCCCAGACCAGCAGACACTCGTGGAAATGTGCACTCACCACCCTGGGGACACTGTGCCCTTGAAGCCCACTGCGGGGAGGCCGGCCTGGGAAGGCACAGCTGTGTTCAGGGCAAGGCTCAACCACGAGCCCCATCCTCCTGGGGGCAAGCTGACAGTCAGCCACACAGCCGGGCAAGGGCCCCAGCGAGTCTGCTACTTACTCCTGAAGCTGGCCCAGCGGCACAGAGGAAACTGCACCAACACTAGAAACCTGGGTGTGACTTGCCGGCACCAGGGATGCTGCTCGGTGCCCCCTGTGGGGTATCAACCCCTCCCCTGCCCCGGGGGCTCCCCTACACCCAGCTCTGCAGGTGCCTCCACCCTGTGCCCCAGGGAGGGCCACCTGGATCATGCCCGACCCCCGGGGAGCAGCACACATGGGCTCTGGAGGGGTCCCGGCCTGGGCTGGGCTCTCCGGCCACCATTCACATGCTGAGTCGCTGTGAGCTAACTCGCGGTCCCTGAACCAGTCTTCCTCATCTGCCCAATGGAGTGGCAAACAAGACCTCCTTCCCCAGAGTGGCCAGAAGCTCCGAGGAGAGACTGGTGGAGACCCCTGGCCCCAGGCTTGGCCCAGCCAGAGGCGCCCTCCCCCAGGCTCCCATGCTGCGGCCCAGAGTCCCCACCTGACAATTGTGTTGAGTCCCCTGTGGAACCTTCTCTTAGCCAGGACAGTGCCTCATGACAGGACCAGGCCCTAGCTAAGGCCACGAGCTGCTGAGAGACCCCCAAAGCGCTGGCGGCCACCGAGGGCCTTCTGCTCTCAGAGCCCGGTGCGCTGCTCAGCTCTAGAACTGCTTCCCCACCACTGCCTTCTTTGGCAGATTAGGCAAAAGCAGTCAGCCCTTTCAGCTGGAAGCCCTCCTTGGAACTTGACAGTGGACAAACAGTTCCTGATCTGCCCTCAGCCACAGAGCTGGGGCCCAAAGTGTGGCGGCCTGGCACTGGAAAGACAAGATGTGACCAATTAAAGTCTGTTTATTTGTAATGAGACAAAACACTACAATCTGTTCAACACTGGGCTGGACACTGCAGTGATTGGGGGCAGGGACGGAAGGGCAGGGCAAGGCCTCTGAGCTCGATTATGAATGTCCAAGGCAAAACCTTCCAGAAGACTCTTCCTGACCCCTCGGGGCAGAAATAAAAATCACATGTCACCGTTGATTCAGATGAGAGAGAACACCACGCTGGGCCTCAGCATGTCGCCAAGGTCAGTGCAGAGGTGGGGACAGGTCAGCGAGCCGGGGACCTGTCCCTGAGGGGGGCACCGCCAGTCAGAAGGTGGTTGGAGGAGGAAAAATGCTTCTCCGGCCCAGGGCTCGCCCTCCTCTTGAGAACACCTTTCTCCCACCCGGAGAGTGGAGGCGGCCCCAGGCTGGGCAGTTCTGGGGGAGGGGAGCATGGCAGTCACTTGGCCCTCAGCCCCCGGCCTGGTTGCTCCCCCTTCTCTTGTCCTAAGGCCGGTGCACCGCGGCCATGGCTCCATGACACTGCAGCAACACTGGGCATGACTGCCACCCCCCTCTACTGCAGAGGGCAGGGCAGGCGGCAAGCAGCGGTGGGGGTGGGGGTAAGGGTGACACCAGAAGCGAGTGATATTCGCACGCACACTTCCTGGCTCTGACAGCTTCTCCTGTCTCTGCCCCTGGGGACTAAGGGGCTGCAAGGCACGTGATGGCCCCCAGCCCCAAAGGCCGGGCCCCATTGGATCGAGAGCACTCGACTTCCTCCTGTCTGCATCTTGGGAGCTGTAGCTCATGGACTTGGGCCTGGGGAGGGGACCCCGGGGAACCTCACTGCCCCTGTCCTCAGCCCAGCTCTGGGGGCAGCTCAGGTGAGCCAACACCTGCCATCTAATAGGCAGATCCGCATTCCCCAAGACGGCGAGAAGCCCTCAGCAGGAGGGCACCGGAGGGTTGACCTCCCGCGTCAGGGTCTAAGCCCCTGAGTGTAAGGGCCTGCTTAGCCAGAGCGAGCCATTTTATTGTTCATGCAATCAACTTAGATTGAACCCGCCCCTTCCCCCAAGAGGAAAGCGCTTAGAAACAGAACCGATGAAATACGGCCGGCTGGTAAAATACGGCCAAATAGCCCCAATAAGGGAGTGCAGATACCAGGACATGTCAGGCTGAGCAGAGATAACGGAGCCCAGATACAAGGACGTGTCCGGCCATGTGGAGACGTCCAATCAAGTGAAAGCGCATGTATTACCCGCCAAGAAGTGTGAGCCCCGCCTTTTAGGCGCCAGACAAAGGCGCCAATTCTAGCCAAGGTCATAGGCTGAATCAAATAACTACTATAGGGTGGATTGTAATTCAATTGGCCACCTGTGTGTGGCCAGGCTCAACCACATGGCCTTTGCTCTATAAAAGTTAGTCTGTGAGGCTGGGAGGGGTTGCCTCTTGCAAGAGACGGCCCTGGCTGGTCAGTTTGATTCTTGATGCTTGACGTGAAATAAAGCTTTGCTTGACCTTCGCTTTGTATCAGTCTCGCTCCTTTGACCACGGACCCAACACGAGCTCTGTGCTTGGGTGAAAAGCCTCTGGGCTCTGCCCACCAAGCGACAGCCCCTCACAGAGAGGCAGGGGCTGCTCCCCCCACCCCAGGCTTCTGCGGGCTGGTTTTGGACAAGGATCTGGCATTCCCTTTCACCCGCTTCTTGTTCTGAGGCTTCCCTGTCTTTAGGGTGAGGTCTGTCCCTAACACCTGGGTTCCTCCCTTCCAATAAAAGTTCATTCCGGCTTTAGAGGAAGGAGCTAGAAGGAACCAGCAGTGGAGGGGAAGGGATCAGAGGAGGAAACAGACCACAGTGAATGCCGCCACACCCGAGCGAGCGGGCCAGCGGGGCTGGCGCTCGCGCGTGAAGGCGGGACCAGGGCGCACGCAGGCAGAGGCGGCGGTTTCCAGAGGTTACCAGAAAAGGAAAGAGGGCTGGAAGAGCCTGTGGGAAAGAAGAGGGGAGCAGGGGTGAAGGCCCCCAGGGAGATGTCCTGCTCTAGCCTGGATCATGAGCCCTCCAGGCCCGGAGTCCCTCCCAGTCTGCACACAGATCAAGGCACAGATGGGGGGAATCCAGCCCAGGTGGTCGTGCAGTGCCGCCTCGTTGAGTCCCCCCGCACCCAAGTGCTCTGGGCTGCGTCTGTGCACCAGGGTGTGGGCCTGGCAGTCTGTGTGACCCCTTGTGGCTTGGAGGTCTGAGAGAGAGCTCTCTGTGGCACTCATGACCTCAGAAGTGGGCGCACCTGAGCAGAGCTCTGGTTTACCAGGCCCCTGCCCCAAGCGGCTGCTGCCAAAGCAGACCTGGCACTCGGGACGATGCGGAAGGAGGGCAGCTGAGTGGTTGGGGCCGGCGGGAGGAGCAGCTTGATCTTTTGGTGCCTTCTCCATTTTTGAACCATGTGAATGCATTCCTGTTTAAAATGTAGTTCAGGAAGTGAAGAGACAGAAGTCTGGCCAAGGGCTCGAGGACAGAGTTTTCCTTCCTGAAGTCTCTGAAAGTCAGTCAGGCTACCTCAGCTCTTGGGACCACTTCCCAACATACCAGTGCCGCAAGTGCCACTCAGGCCCTCCTGTTTTTACAGCTGAGGGCGGCACGGGCTTCATTTCCTGGTACCACCATCCCACTGGGCTCTGCTCCCCTCTCCCCACACCACCCGCTCCCACATACCTGTCAGAGACCAGGTGTGCCCACGACGCTCTGCTCCGAGCCTGCGTAGCACCCTGCTTGCAGCTGCGGCAGGCCAGCGGGCCCGGCCAGGGGTCACCGGCTCCTCTGCAGACGACAGAAGTCCGACAGCCAGGAAGGCGGGTTCTGAGGGGTGCCGAAGGGCGGGGCCTGCTGACGGCTGCCCAGCTGGCATCACATGGTCCGGCTATAGGCAATGCCCCCCTTGCTGGAGATGCCAGACCACGGCAGGAAGCTGCAGAGCAGGCTGTGGGCCTGACGGTAGATCCTGTGCGGGATGGAGCAAGGGCTCAGGTTCGCTAGCGCGGAGCCCAGGTGTTGGATGTAGTCCGTGGGGCTCCGTTAAGGAAGACTCCGACTCGCCTGGCCTGCCCACGCACCCCTGGGTGGCACTGTCAGCAGGAGCCCACACGGTCATCTGCAGGACTGCGTGCAGATGCCACACCGTTCCTGAAGGACACCCAAAGCTCTGGAGAGTCTTTCAGCTGGAGGGTCCTCTGCTGTGCCAAACAAGCTAGGGTAGCGCGCGGTGCAAGAGGACCTTCCGGCGAGGCCTCAGGCATGGGACAGCTGGACCAAAGCTGGCAGACGGGGACTGTGGGCTGGGGCGACAGGTATGCTGGAAGAGCAAGCGTTCCCAGTTCACTCCCACGCTCAGTCATCAGAACGGCAGGGCCTTGGCCCTGGGACAAGGAGGGGGTCCCAGCTTCCCAGGGACTAGGAGGCCTGCAGGGTCTGGGGTCGCGCCTCTCCCTCCTGTTTACTCCCCTGTGACACGGCCAAATCGTCACCTCCCCCAGTTCATTCCTCGCACGCTCACAGTGTCGGGGGCCACACCCCCCATCAGGGAGTCTCCCGGCCTCCCTTTTTCCTATCCCGGCCCAGAGATGGCTAAAGAGGAGAGAGTAGGGGAGGAACACAGCTCTAGGTCACAGGCCTCAGGAAAGGGAGGTCTGAACCCAAGCGCTCCAAACAGCCAGCAATTCTCTTCGCCCCATTGTGCGTCTTCTCCCCAGCCCGAACAGGGCCCGCTGCGGGCGGGGGCTGGTCTGCCGGGCTCACAAGTGTCTCTCCTGCGCGCCCGGAGCAAGAGGCTCTCCATCACTCTTTGGTGGGTGGGTGGGTGGACCACAGACCGAGAGTGTTAAAGCCCACAGCTCATGCCAGCTTAAGTCTGAGGAACACTGAGCACAACCAGATCTACCCACACCACCACCTGGTCAGGAAAAACGTGTCCTGTGAGCTTGGCCTCGTGAATCATGTGAAGGCAACGCAGCTCCATCTGGCGTGTAGGCCCTGTCCCTGCGAGTCACCCTTGAGGCTGGGAAACCACATCCCTCACCCCCGAGAAGTAAAGGATATAGGATTGTCCAGGGAGGGTGGCCGCCGTTGATGTAGAGCACATAGGTGAAGCCATCTTTGAGGACCCCTCGGATGGAGTAGTAATAGGGGAGATAGTGATGTTGCTTAAAGTCTCTGTTTTCATAGAAGTTTATTGCTGTGTTGTTGGTGGTGAGGACGTGCAGGTAGATGGCTTTGCAGTGGTCTTGGGCGGTGGTTGATATGTGATCCTTCAAACTCTCAAGTAAAAGGGAACCTGCAGGAGAAGGGGTGACAGTCACACACAGCAGGGCAGGCTGGCAGGGAGCATGAAGCAGAACGAGGAGGCGACCTTGCCAGACATGTCTACAGATCTCCCTGCCACTACACTGAAGATGAAACTCCCACAACCACCCGGTCAAAGCCCCTAAAATCCCAAAGCCAGATGGGGCTTGTCTGCCGCACACTGTTGGGCGTCTGGAACCACAGATGGGGGCCAGGGAGTTCCCTCGAAGGGGCTGGGGCTGGGACTGGGGAGGAGACTCACTAAACTCTCCTACGACGGAAAGAGCAAACGAGAGCCCTGGAAAAGGCAGACCAGGCAGGCCTGGGTCACACAGGAAGACCGCCGCCTACTAGCCAGGTGGCAGAGTGGGGGGAACCTGGAGACAGGCCTGGGCACAGCTCCCCGCATGCAGCAGGCATCTGATAAACGGCAGCCGGACTGGTTTTTTCTCTTTTTTAAAAGATTTTGTTTGTCAGATAGTGAGAAGGAGAGAGCACAAGCAGGGGGAGTTGCAGGCAGAAGAAGGAGCAGGCTCCCTGCTGAGCAGGGAGCCCGATGTGAGACTTGACCTCAGGACCTCAGGATCCCTCGTGATCTCAGGGATCTGAGCTGAAGGCAGACGCTTAACCGACTGAGCCCCCCAGGCGTCTCTGGGACTATTTTTCTATCCTTAATCAAGAACACTTTAGGACCAAACATAAGTCGTGTGTGGTGGCAGGTGTGCTGAGAGGGGCCCATTCCCCAGAGACCTGACGGTGGGTGTAAACAGCGCAGGTTGAAGGCCCATGGACTGGTGGTGGGGCAGGAGGCTGAACGTCCCTGCAGGACGGGGGGACGAGGGACATTTACGGGCTGGTCATCGGCACATGGGAAACGACTGGACAGGGAGGCTGGAGCAGACGTGGCGCGTCCTCGAGCTTGGCGCCCCTTACCTATGCCGTGCTTCCTGAACTCCTTCACTACTCCCAGACTTAGAATGTACGCAACCTGCGTGTCAACAGAGAAGTTGGAGGCTAGAATATCTCCATCCTGAAGGAAAAGGCAGACACGGAGGCAGATTAACGGCTGAGGCACCTGGTACAGGGTACATCTCACCCACCGACTCCCCGATCGTGACACTTCAGGGGCAGGGGTTGAGGCGCGAGGGGACAGAGCAAAGGATAATGGAGAGTCACCCCCCACAACCCACACAGAAACGACAGGGTGCAGGTCCTTAGGGCACAAATGGCTCAGCTAAGGCACACACAGTGTTGCTTCTCTTGGGGATACGTGGTGCTCCTGACAGGGCAAAGGCAGGGCGGTAACAGGGATTCGACCGTGCTGCACGGACGCGTATGGGGCGCTGGGGACCAGATGAAGCTTGCAAAGGTTTGCCTTAAGGATCGGACTCTGCCCCCAGGTGGTCTCTAAGTAGAGGGAGCAGGGGCCTTAGCCGCCCCTCCACCGCCCTGCGCCACCCACACCACCCCATGCCCGCCCCCCGGTCCCGGAGATGGAGTTCCGGCCTGGGAGGCTGAATCTAACCTCCGTGTGAGACCAAGTGGAATTAAAAAGCTCAGCAGGAAGCTGGTAGTTCTTAAAAGAAAGTACGTTTGCCAGAATCTAATTATGGGCAAAATGGAGTATACTTGACGGGGTCGGGCCTTTCAAAGGGAGATATCCTCACTGTACTTCTGGAGAAATAACCTGAAGCTAAACAGGTAGAACCAGCTGCCCGTTGTCAGCGGGGTCTTTCCTGCCCTTGGAGTACACACCCACGCGGTAAGCACTGCTCCGGCCCGAAGATGACCAAAGCTGTTCGGCCGAAGCTTGACCCAAGACAACCACGTGGAACCATGTGTCTGTGGCCGTGACCTCACGTTTTACTTTACACTCAGGGCAGAGCTTGCTGACGTGGGGCCCCTAGACCCTTAGGAGTTCCGACACGGATCTCGGAGAGGGATGAAAAGATCTTCGCTAACCGCTAACCGGAACCTGGCACGTCCTTCCACCAACCACAGCACTGCTGGCCGTTTCCACAAGTCCCCGATCCTCCCAGAGCCCCCGACAACTCTGGGGGCTCTCAGCGTGTTATTTGTACTCCTCCCTACTTTGAAATGACAGTCGTGAAGACTGCGGCTGGGTCTCCTGCTGTATCACCTACACCCAGGGAGAAACCAACTGGGGATGCGTCCCGTCATGGGTCCGGGCTCCCAGGAGAAAGGGCCACAGAGCAGGCAGCGTGATTCAGTCACGCATCCCAGTGGCCCGTGCAGTGACAGGGACCTCCCTCGCTACACGTACTTACCTCCTTGTGTATCTTGCTCCTACTTTTTATTTCGGCTACTATCATCCCCACGATGGCGCCCCTGTAGGTTGCGGCGAGGGAAAAGAACTTTTTGTTGGAAGTGATATCACGATACCATGAGTCTGGGTACCTGAGGAGGAAAACAAACTAAGGTGAACCTGCAAAGGTCAAGTTCAGCTAAGGTTGGGCTTCACAGGGGAACCACCGTGCCCACCACTCCACGGCTGAGAAGGAGCCTGCACCAGACGGTCTTCTTAAAGCGTCATCTGTCTGGGTGGGACTGGGGATTTCTTTCTTTTTTTAGATTTTATTTACTTATTTGACAGAGACAGCGAGAGAGGGAACACAAGCAGCAGGAGGGGGAGAGGGAGGAGCAGGCTTCCTGCCAAGCAGGGAGCCCGATGTGGGGCTCGATCCCATGACCCTGGGATCATGACCTGAACCGAAGGCAGACGCTTAACAACTGAGCTACCCAGGCACCCCAGGACTAGGAATTTCTTTAAAATGTCTTTTTCTTTCCTTAAGAAGAGAAAAAAAAAATTTTTTTTAAATTTCTTATTTACTTGGGGGGGAGGGGCAGAGGGAGAGGGAGAAACTCAAGCCAACCCTGAGCACAGAGCCCAATGCAGGGCTTGATCTCGTGACCCTGAGATCATGACCTGAACCTAAACCAAGAGTCGGACACTTAACTGACTAAACTACCCAGGAGGCCCTAAACGAGAATTTAGGGAATTTCTGATGGGAAAAATGATTTTACTATTATTACAGGAGAGATGAGAGGGAGAATCCTCTGACGACATTCTCTCTATGAGAGCAGGATGTGGAGGGACAGCTGGATGAGGTAAGACTGATGGCCCCGGATGCCCCACAGACCTGGGTGATTTCCAAGAATTCTGTGAGTCCTTTTGAAGACTGGGGGTGTGGGGAGAGCCAAGTTCACAGGTGAATGGCATTTGAGTTCACTGCACCTCCCTGGGCAGGGACGGGGACAACCCTTTGAGGGCAGGGTATGGCTAGGGTTGCTAGGGGCTGTTCACCAAGACCACGACCCAGGTGAGCAGGACGAGAACTTTCAGTGCAAAGCCCCTGGATGGTAACAAAAACGCAGACTCAGCCATAGCCAGGAGGCATGGTCAGAAGGGCAGGGGCACTTGGGGCCTCAGGGTGTGTGGGTTTTTAAATTTGGGGTAGACATAACAGGTTAGTCTAAGATGCCTTTGTTGAGACCAAGAGCTGGGAAAGGGCGCCATACCCTCTCAGTGACATAGCAGACATGTCCTCTACTCGGCTCTGCTCCGCAGAGGCCACTGACTACCCACCAGAAGGTCCTACAGGGCATCACCCTCACCCTTCCCCGGTCCTCCTCACACAACCCAGGGTGCTTGGCTGGCATGGCAGCCAGAACACGGAGCTGCCACCACACAGTGCGTGGGCCTGCAGTTCACTCCACTGTCTTTGGAACCTGAGGCCTTGGCTGCAGGAAGCTGTGAGCAGAGGCCGGCAGGCCGGGTGCCTCAGGAGGCAGAGGCTACAGCCCCGTGTGGCTCTACCTGGCACATGCGCCCTCCGCGGGGCCTGATCCAAGCACGTACTGGGCTACTCTGCAGCTGCAGTGGGACTGCTGGTGGAAGCAGGGTCCCTCTGTGACCCCGAAGACACCGCTGGCTCGCATCCTCCCTACCCCAGGGGCTGAGGCACCTCCTACTAGAGCCCGCCTGTCCCCCTGCCTGCAACAGGTTAAACCACCAGTCTGAGGTCAGGACTCTCCTGGAAATACGAGGCCTGGCAGGATCTAGTTCATTTTTTAACAAGATGTTTGTTTTTGTTTGAAAATAAAGAATTCTTGTGATGAGAACTCCAGATTTATGGTCTGAACAGCTTGCCACATGTGACATATACAGCAGCGTTCCCTCTGGCCGGCGTGCTGCCCATCACACTGGTACTTCTTTATCTTCTAACTGCCAGGCAGTAAAACGAAGCCTGCGCCCACTCTTCCCACACAAAAGCTGGACGTACCCATGACGGAAGCAAAGCAACAAAACTGCAGCTAATAATCTGGCCCCCAGACTACGGGAGACATCGTGCTCCGGTGAGCAACCCTAAGTGTTCATCTGGCATCTGTTTTCAAATAAAAGCAGGATTGGGATCCTGCTTTTATTTCAAAAATAAAATTAAATAAATAAATAAATAAATAAAATCTGTCTGCTAGCCCTTCTGAACACCCCCTTTGTCCTCACCCACCGCTAAGTCCACCCCTACTTTGCTTTTAAAAACTCTGACTGTAATCTGGCTCAGGGTCCAAGTCCCTACTCTGCTGTGTCGGGTACACTTGGGCCCAAGCTTAAGCTTGTCAAATAAACCCTCATGTGACTGCATCGGTGCTTGGCTCCTTGGTGGTCTCTCGGATGCGAAAACTCGGCCATAACACCCAAAGGTCTAGGGGCCCCGATGCTCAGTCCTGACCACTCAGCCAGCCCAAGTGAAGTGCCTGGGACAATCCTTCAAGGTCACCTGCACTGACTGCCCTGGCATCGTTAGTGCCCGGTTCCTGTGAGACCGCAGGTGTTTCCGGGAGGGTCCCCGGGAAGGACGTGTCCTAATGTGCCAGCTGCCAGGGGCTGAAATCCACCCGAGGCTTGACTGCTGGGATTGGGAGGGGGAGCGGTTGCTCAGCCTCTAAGCCCTGGACACAACCCCAGCAGGCTCTACTCAGCAAGAAGGCTTCCTGCGAGGGCTGGCTGGGCGGGCAGCACCCCCCGGACCACGTGCTGCTGAGCAGTCGGGCCAAGGGCCAGCCAAGGGCAGGAGGAGGTAGATGCACTGCAGGAGCTCCGTGGCTCTTGAGGCCACATTGGGTTCTGTCTTTCCAGCACATGCCAAACTCCCAGGGGTGGGGACCATGCCACCCTGACGCGTCCCCGTACAGAGCACCGGCTCAACAGCTGAAACAAGCGGGGACCTGCTTCCTCCCCCTCCCTCCATGTCTTCCGTCAAGTGCCTGTGCACTGCCTGTGTGGGGTCCCCACGGTGTGGAGCCCTCCGTGGCCCTCCCCACAGCGCGAGGTGCCCTACCCTGTGGCTCTTGGGAGACAGAACTGGATGTTCATCAGGACGAGGTCTGTTCAGCTGCTTCAGACCTGGGGGCCCCCAAAGGGCCAGGCTCAGCCTGCTGCTGGGGCGCCACCTCCACTGAGAAAGGAGCCCTGCTGGAGGCCGATCACTGAAAGGGGATGGAGCTGGTCTCTGGATACAGGATCTGGCTGGAATCCCTGAAAGCCAGGCTGACCCAGGCAAAAGCCTCTTTCTGGACAGGGCAGACGCAGCCAGCTGTGTTGACAAAACAAGGGACACAGCCATCTCAAAAGCTGAAGGGAGAGGCCTGCGGGCATAGGGCGTCCGCAGCTGCTGGACTGTATTTGTCTGAGTTCTTAGTTCCAAACACAAAACAAAACGGAAACACCAACCAAACCATAGAAACTATCCTCCGTCTAGGCAAATCTCATCATCCCATGTCGCTTTTCTTTCTTCTTTCTTGAGATGCACCTTCAAAAACGAAACCCTGTTGGGTCAACAACAGCTCTGCTATTTGGTTCCTGAACAGCTGGGCCATTCCAGGGCTCAGCATCCCCATCTGAGGCTGCCCACTCCAGCCCACATCCCTGCTGGTATCCAGGACGCGGCCTGTGGCCCAGAACATTCTGGTGTGACCTTAGGGACCTCATGACTCTCAAGTGGACAGCCACCTCCTGGGAAATGGGACCAAAACTGGCAAGTCCTGAATTTTAGGAGTCATCTCTGTCCGAAATATATCGTAGTGGTCACTTGAAAGGATGTGGTTCCCCAGTCATCCAGGGCAAAGGGCTGTTTTGTCCCAGAGTATATTAGTGTATGGGTTAGAGGGGCTCACGCACCAAGAGCAGGATGGACCCTGGCACCTCGCATTCGGGTACAAAGTGCCGCTCCCCTGGAGGTTTCTGCACAACGCCCAAAGCGAGGGTAACCCTCCCTTCTGCCACACAAGGGATGGGTTCAGACACTGAGCCTGGCCTTATCTCTGGCTCACCCTTCACAGCCAGTCTCTGAGTCCCCTCTAAAACAGAGATAGTCAGGCCCCACAGGGCAGGGCCGAGGCTGGCACCAGCTGCAGATGGCAGAGGGCTGGGAACTGAAGGGGAAGTGCCCATTAGTGTGGGCTGCTGGTGCCCGCCCACTGGTGACCAGCACGGTCTGGCCAGTCCAGGGATATTTCCTTGACCTTTAACATTGATGTCCTAAGTATCTTAGCTCTGACTCCTAACAGGTGATTCTCAGCTGCTGGTTCAGTGTTGGAGGCACCAAACTAGTTCAGTCTCATTTAAACTGGAAGGAGGCCCTATCCTCCAACCCCCTCAGCCAAGTTCTGAATCCACACAGTTTACCTCTGACACCTTATTTTTATTTTTTTTAAGATTTTATTTATTTTAGAGAGATCGAGCGCACAAGCAGGGGGAGAGGAAGAGGGAGAGTGAGAAGCAGGCTCCCTGTTGAGCAGAGAGCCCTATATGGGACTTGATCCCAAGACCCAGAGATCATGACCTGAGTCAAAGGCAGACGCTTAACCGACTGAGCCACTCAGGCGCCCCCCCCCCGATCTTTTAAGAAAGATTTATTTGAGAGAGAGAGAGAGAGAGAGAGATGACTCTGATGCTTTAAAAAACAGTTCTCTGGCACAACATACACACAAAAAAATTACTAAAATCAACAACCAACGGCTTCGTTTATCTTCTCAGATATGAGAACAGCACTGCGCTTGTGTGGAAAACGTCCGTACTCTTGAAGAGATGTACACTGGATATGTAGAGACGAAATGACAGAACATCCTGTAACTTCATTTAGTTGGAGCAAAATGCCTGAATGTTAATAACTGTCAAGTGGGATGAAAGGTATGCCAAATGGGTGTTTGAAAGTGTTCCTGGGGTGCCCAGGTGGCTCAGTCTAAGCGTTTGCCTTTGGCTCAGGCCATGATCCCACAGTCCTGGGATGGAGTTCCCCATCGGGCTCCCTGCGCAGCGTGGAGTCTGCTTCTCTCTCCGCCCCTCTGCCGGCTTGTGCGCTCTCTCTCTCTCTCTCACAAATAAATAAAACCTTTAA